GCAGAGGGTGGGGGATGGGGAATCAAGGATGGCAAAACAAAAGGCAAGGTATGCAGGACATAAGAATTGGAAAATTATTTGCTGAGAACATGTATGTTGATGTGCTTGATTGAGCCAATGCACAGTGTATTTTGGATGGAAAATTCATTTGTGTGTTGTGATGGTGTATAGTGAATTAATGTAGAGAGTGAATAAATTAAAAAAAAAAGTTCAATATACAGACTCTGAAATAATATGAAAAAAAATTCTATTCTTTAAAATGTCTGTAAGGTAATTTATTCACCTTTCTAGGTGACTATCCAACTATGAAAATTACTTGTAGGAAAACATAAAGAGAAACTTTTAAAATAATTACTCATCTCATATTCTATTTTGGCATGGAGGGAACGGGTGGGGCGTGGAATGGGCATTAGCATGTATGTGTTATAAGAACATTTAATAATGGAAGCATCACTGGAAGAAACAATGTCTCTAGACTCTAGTTAAGAACTTTTTTCAGGGACTAGCAGTTAGCTTAATGGCTATGTCGTTGGACTCCCATGTAGTCGACCGTGGTTTGAGTCTTGGACCTGGTGGCTCAAACTCAAGCCGGGTGTGTGTGCCCAAGATCCCGAGAGGAGAGAGGAGGAGAAGGGGTCATGGAGTGGCCATTTCCCCTGGGGGGTGCTTTCTCGCTTTCTGTCTGTCTGTCTCTGTCTGTCTGGCAAGCGTATGCACGCTATAGCGAAAAAAATTAAAAAAACAAAACAGAACAAAAAGAAAAACTTCTAAAAAAAAAAGCCGAAAAAAAAAAAAAGAAAAGAAAAAAAAAAAGAATGTTTTTTAGAGACCAGCAGTTGGCATAATGGCTATGTTTGTTGCTGGACTCCCATGTAGATGACCGTGGTTTGAGTCCCAGCCACAGTGGCTTAAACTCACGCTGGGAACATGTGTGTGCATGCCCAAGATTCTAAGAGGAGAATTTTAAAGAAAGGATTGCGGCGTGGCCATCCCTCCTGAGGGATTTCTTGTTTTCTGTCTCTTTGTCTTTCTGGCGAGCACATGTGCCCTATAGCAAAAACTTCTCAAAAAAAAAAAAAAAAAAAAAAAAAAAAAAGAAAAGAAAAGAAAAAAAGAAAAGAAAAGAAAAATAGAACTTTTTCACATACCAATCAATATCAAAGACAGTAAGAGAGCCATTCCATGTGGCTGCTATCATGAGAATGTGATCCTCTGAGGGGTTGGGGAGATTCTGAGAAATGGCACAATGGGATGCTCTTCTCACCTTCACTTTTACCTCATGGTGAGAAGAGAAAGACAACTGTCTTAAAGGCCAGGTAGATATAGGAGATGTTTAGCAACTATCTGTGTATCAAAGTACAGTTCAAATCCCTTAAGTGTCCTCTACAAGATATAAAATGCTTTCACTACCCAGGAACTCTGTCCAACTAGTATTGCTTTTAAAGAATTATTTATTTAATTCCATTTGTTACTATTATTTTTTTAATTTGACCAAAAAGACAGAGAGAGAGAAAGGGAAAGTAAGCCACCAGGTCCAGGACTTGAACCGTGGTCGGCCATGTGGGAATCCGGCAGCTTTAACCATGCCATCTATGGGCCCTGGCCCAACTCATATTAACATACTGTTATGGTAAGAACATTTGATTTTTTTTTTGTTTTGGCAGAGGTTCCACAGGCCCCGGATTGAGATCTCTTCTTGTCCTATAGCTTACAGCATAATAGCCCTGGCCCTCTCTTACCCTTGTCCCTGTCACTTACCGCTGCTTTGGTGTAACTCCCAGTGGCCAGGGAGCCAGCAGAGCTCATTTCCGCAATAAGCAGGCAGCCCCGATTCAAAGGCAGGCCCACTTCTTGTAGGCCTTTCACAACTCCCGAACCTGGCACCACGTGAGCATTTACTAGGTCTGCCCAGGAAGCTATTTTAAAGACACCACCTAAGGAGGGGAAAAAAGTTGCCAATTTACAAACAAAACCCTCTAACCTTATCCCTAACCTACCAAGTATAATATGAAATAATTCAGAACACAGCTGATGAGAGTCAAGTACTTCAAAAACTTTAGTAGTATCAGTGGCCACATGGTTCCATTCTGAGAAAATCTTCTCTGTTCACCTGGTAGCTGGATGAGAGACCACGGCAAGCAAAAACTTACAAGTCCTACACTCGGGTTATGAAGAACGCTGATGAGACTGTTTTTCCCTGCAAGCTGAACACTCTGAATACCAATAAAGCTTATGCAATTAGAAATGGACTCCAGTAAAGAGGAGAATCATCAGGTCAACGTTCTCAACATTCTGAAATTCCTCCTGAAGATGAGTCTTTCACTCTGCAGGAACTGTTTATAAACTTTATTGATTCTCAGAATTTCTGATATGTTCCTTAGTTCTTCTTGCCTATTCTAATTTCAACAGGCAACTATACTCATTTTAAAAGCTGACAATAAAGACCCTATCTGATTATTGAAAAAGCTACATGCAAATCTAAAGAAAGTTTGTATAAATCATCTATCAGTCAATAAGCTAAACTGAGGTAAGTCATGTGATGATGAGAGGACTTTTAACAAACATGAAGAAAGTCAAATACAGATGAATCTTATTCTATAAAAATAGCTTTAAGAATATGCATGTGTTACTTAAAAAAAAAAAATCATATGGGCCAGTCTCATGGACTGCTGGTTAAAGGAGCCAGATCCAACATGGTCGACTGAGTGATTTGAATCCTGACCCAGTAGCTCAGCAAACACATCAGTGGCAGGACCAGCAGATGGCGTAATGGTTACATCACTGGACTCCCACGTAGTTGACCACAGTTCAAGTCCCAGACCGGCTGGCTTAAACTCATGCTGGTGCATGTGTACACATGCCCAAGATCCCAAGAGGAGAATGGAGGAGAAGGGACTGTGGCATGGCCATCCCCCTGGGGGGTGATTTCTTGCTTTCTGTCTCTGTCTTTCCGGTGAGTGTATACACCCTATAGTAAAAAAATTTCTCTTAAAAAACAAACAAACAAACCCACATCAGGAGCATGTACATGTCTGCCTTAGGTCCCAACAGGATGGAGAAAGAGAGAAGGGACTGCAGCATGACCATGTCCTATTGCGGGGACGGAGTGCTCTCTTTCTCACCCTTTGGCAAGCACAAACAACCTCTGACAAAATTAAAAGAAAAAAAGTTATCTCAAAGATATCTACAGTAAATGTTAACATGGTCAAGTATCTGTCATAAGTGAAAAAGCAGAAGATATATAATGTGGTCACAGCTCTGTAAAAATGTAGACAGAAATTTACATAGAGAAATGTATGGAACTAAGTTTTTTTGGCCAGAGGCCATGTGTACTCACATACACACATGCAGTGAGAATGAGAGTGAGAGCGATTCCCAGTAGGGCATGGTCATGCTGCAATCCTTTTCCTCTATTTCTTCATGCTATCATGTTGGGGGCTTGCGTGTGTGCGCGCGCATGTGTGTGCACACGTGCACACGCACACACACACACGTGACCAGTGTTTTTCACGTCAGTGGGGTTAGGACTCAATCACAGTCAGCCACATGGAACCCAGTCCCTTACATACAGGGCTTAACCACCATGCTATGGGGCCAGCTCAAACTGAGCATTTTTTTCAGCCAATACTTGTAGCACTGGGAGTCTCTATTTCGCATTAAAGAATGTTCTTTAAAATTAAAAAATGGATGTATATCAACATATTGTTTTCTGCTGAAAATAATATTATGTTTCACTGTTTCCCATATCTATAATTTTCATTCAAAATTCATCATGTTTTGCCAGAACCAGTATCTGTCATATGTGCCTGCCTAGGACCCATGTATCTTTTTTCTGGTATTAACAAACTAATTTTCTGTAGCAGAACTACCCCTGTCCAGGGCTCAGTTCAAGAAGTTTAAATAGAATTAATAACCTCACATTTATAGGAACAGGCGTAATATTTGTTGAAGGTATTTTATACCACAGGCCAGAGTGATTGGTTAGGGGTAGGCAAGTGAAGTGTGCCTACCTGTGAAAGAAGTCAACAGAGAAGAAACAGAGCCGAGAAATGGAGAGAAAGCGAGTCCAGAAGACATCACTTGAGTTCCTGGATCCAGCCATATTTGACAGCCTGCTCTACAACTGGACCTTCAGTTGTGTGAGTCAATACATTCTCTTTTATCTTCAGTCAGTTTATGTTATATTACTGGTTCTTGCAAATTCCTGAATAATACTTACCTTCATACTGCTTTCTTACTGTATTTCCTATATCTGCAAATTTTCGGTCTTCAAAGATTAAGAACTCATGGCGTTTTGCCAGAGTTGCCAACTCCTTCATCACATCCAGAGTGAAATCACTCAAAATATCCACATGGGTCTTCAGCATGCAGATGCTGGGTCCTAACGCATCTGCCAGCTGCAGCAACTCTCTGGCATCTGAAACATCAGCAGACAGGCACAGATTGGTTTCCTTCTTCTGCATAAGCCTGAGAAGCTTTGATGCAACTGGGTGGATCCTGGGCAGCTCCGCACGAACATCAAAGCTGAGTTCTTTGGGTGCCTTCTTCACAGGAGGGAGAGAACCATTATGATTGGCTGCCACAAACACATTCTCCTGAATAAATCTCTTGACTTTCTCGACCATCTCAGCATCGATTTTCTTCTGCTGTTCGAGAATCTCCAGCATCTTGGACAATGTACACACTGAGTGGAGCCGGATGCCGTGTGCTTGCAACTTGTCCTTGCCCCCCTGCTCCCTGTCGAGCAGCACTATGGCATCAGTGACCTTCAAGCCCTCTTTCTGAAGAACCTCAACAGTTTCCAAAACACTGGATCCACTGGTGACAACATCTTCAATAACTAAACAGGTTTCTCCTGGATTAATAGCTCCTTCTACCATACGCTTAGTACCTAGAAAAGGAAAAATTCTGTTGATTCCAACTTAAAAATATGTATTTTCAGCCAACTTAAGATATACCTTGCAGTCTAAATTTGGAATATACTTACAAAGAAGTGAATGATCTACGTCTTATTTTCTGATAATCTACCTTGAAGCTACTTTACTTCTGCTGAATCATCAATGTGCCAAGATGGCTGTTTTGTTCAGTGTCTCTACAGCCCAAAATTGGCAGTTTCATATACAGAGTATTTACAGTAAACTAGCAAATTACTTTGCAGTGTAAATAAACACCACCTAATATGCTTTATAATCACATTTTCAAATATGGGGTTTCTTGCAAGATCATCTACAATAAACAAAACTATAAAGCAGAATAATACAGCATCATTAATTAAATCATTCCCTTTTTCATCAACAAACAAGTTCATCACCTAAGATCAGTCAAAACAATGGGTTTTTTATTTTAATTGCTAGAGGATATGTATGCTCACCAGAAACAGAGAAAGAGAGAGAGAGAGAAAGCACCTCTCCATGGGGCACAGTCATACCACAATGCCTTATCCTCTATTTCTCATCCTGTTGTGATTTGGGGTGCACATGCACAAGTGCCTGGCATGGTTTTTCAAGCTTCCAGGGCCAGAATTTAAAACAGTCAGCCACATGGGCTCTGGCTCCCCTAACTACTGTGCCAGAGGTTTCCAACACCTGGGAACTGGGCTGCACAGCAAAAGGTGAGTGGCAGGTGAGCAAGCAAAAACTTCATTTGTATTTACAGATCAGAAGGTGCATTAGATTCTCGTAGGAGCACGATCCCTACTGTGAACTGCACAAGTCAAGGATGTAGGTTCCATGCTCCTTATAAGAATATAATGCCTGGTGATCTGAGGCGGAGCTGAGGTTATGATGCTAGCCCTGGGGAACAGCTGTAAATACTACATTATGGTGAGTTGTATAATTATTTCGTTATATATAACAATGTAATAACGAAATAAAGTGCATAATAAATGTAATGCGCTTGAATCATACTGAAACCACCTCCCCCATCCTGGTCCATGGGAAAATTGTTTTCCATGAAATTGGCCCCTGGTGTCAAAAAGGTTGGAGACTGCTGTACTAGGCAACAGGGTTGGCCCAACAAGTGGCTTTTCTGGAGATAAAAATTTAGAAGGGAAAATATTTAGCAGCCATTTAGACTCAGTACTATCAATAGAATCTCATGAATTATAGAGTATACTGTGACTGGATATATTTCTCTCCCATACACCCCACATCATGATTTATTTGTGAATAATCTACAAAATGTAACTCAGGCTATAGACTTACAGATTGATTTTTTAAAATATTTTCCATTACTAATTTGTCTTATTTTGAAACAAAAATAGAATTGGTAGGCATTTTGCCCAATTTTTGATTATACAAGTATAATCTTTGACTATTCCCATTTCTTTCTCAGTTTAGACTAAGTACTTACAGGTATGTTTAAAAACAAATTATTTCATTTTAGAAAACATTTTTTAAAACATAGATAAGAAAACAGAATAGTTTCCTTATGGGTAAGAATCATGTAGACAATTTTCTTAGCTAAAAAAATTTAATAGTGTGCCTTTAAAGCAAAACATAGGGCCAGCAGATAGTATAGTAGTTAGGGTACTAGATTTCCACCTGGCCTACCATGGTTTAAGACTGGTACCTGGCTGGGTACGTGTGTGCACGCCCAAAATCCCCAGAAGAGAATGGAGGGGAAGGGACTATGACATGGTCATTCCCCCTTTCTCACTCCCTCTCTCTGTCTTTCTCTGGTGAGTACACACACTTTATAACAAATAAAAATATCTATTTTTCTAAGAAAGCAAAACTCAACTAAATATTTGTATTTTTTTCCTTATAATGACAATTTCAAACAAAGAAAAAAGTTAACAAGACAGTATAACAAACACTGATAAATACAGAATCCTACTGCCTGACAACTCTTGGCCAACTTTATTTCATTTATATCCCCACTTACTTGCCCACCCCTAATTTTTAGAAGCAATTCCCAGACTTCATATTTTAGAATCTACTTGTAAAAGGACACATACAAAACATTACCATGTCAACATAAGACAATGAAACAAAAAATCCATAGATTCTTTAATATCACCATATGAAGTCAGTTCCAATTATTTGAGATTGATTTTCAAGTTTAAAGTGAGTGCACTTGAAAACCTACTACTATGGACCCACAAAAAATACCTCCATGAGGTGTTTAAACTTCATTATTAAAGTAATTTTATTCATGCGTAACTTTTCACGCAGTTTAAATATATAACTATACTAGGAAAATACATGCTCTTAGAATATCCTGATGTTCTCAGAGAAGAGCTGGTAAAAGCACTGGGGCTTCACAGATAATGACCACTGTCATTATCATTGTCTTATCAATACAAAGCATTTCACCTTAGACTCTAAAGGAAATGACAATGATTTATAACAACAGTTAACAAATTCCACAGGTGGGGATCAGTAGGTGGCATAGTAGATAAGGTACTGGACTCTCACATATCATACTGTGGTTTGAGTCCTGGACCCGACGGCATGAAAAACCATGCCAGGCATGTGTGCATGCCTGACAAAAATTCCAGGAGGAGAATGGAGAAGGGATTGAGGCGAGGCCACTTCCTTGGAAGATGATTTCTCACTTTCTCTCACTGCCTTTCTCCTCCTGTCTTTCTCTGGCAAGTGCACATACCCTGTGGCAAAAACCTAAAAAGGAAGAAAACAAAAACCAAATTCCACAGGCAATAATAACTTAAGTACCTATGAAGAATACTTAAGATGCTGAAACATCAATGAGTGGAAGAAGAAAAAACTCTAACAGTATCAGTTTACATAGTAACTTAAGGCTTATTCTTTTATTTTACCATAATCCTTTGTTTCTTTCCTTCTAATAAGCATTGGAATTTGATTGGTTGAACAGATAACCGTAGCCAATGGCAAAGCTGTGTAAGGCACTCCACACACACTATCAAAATTGATTCCCGCTTCTTGGGCAGTTTGGAATAAAATATCTGCAACCTGTAAGAAAATGAACACATACAGATGTAAGAAACAAGATCCTATTACTTGACTCGAAATAGAGGAAGATAAAAGACTTAATGTTGAGTGAAGTTGAGCCAAGGCTTTGAAAGATACAAACTGTATTTCCACTCAATTTGTACTGAGTGTCTGCACTTAATAAACTTAGGACAGTCCTATCTGCTTAGCAGTGTTTTCTCTTAAACCTCTCTGCAGACTGTTTCATGAATGCTTTATCAAATTATCAAAGTTCAAGTGCAATAATGTTTGAAGTCTATACATGGTAAACTTATGTTTACCAGAGGAAAATGACTCAAAACCTTTTTCTGGTATTATCCAGAAATAGTTCACTCTAGAACCACGGAAGACCCTCCAACTAGACTTTACCCCCCTGCTCTCTGGTCTAGCCAGGAGCCAGGATAAGTCAATCAGCAGCCATCTACATCTCAGTTAAAGGCAACCCCTTTCAGGCATTTAGACCACTGAAGACCTTCTGCCCAGACTTCATCTTCCTGCTCCCAGGTCTAGCCAGGAGCCAGATTTAACTCCAAAAAAGAGGAAAAAACATAATCCATCAGATGACCAGAACCGCAGAGGCATGAGAAACATAAGAAATGAAGTAAATATCTCTCCTCTAATGAAAAATAACTCCTCTTCCTCCACAAAGAATATAAGGGAACTCCTGGAAATGTCAGATAAGGAATTTAAAATATTCATAGCGACGAAGCTAACAGAGATGCAAGAAAATAGAGACAACGAACTCCAGAAGATGCAGGAGAAAAGAGACGCTGAGTCCCAGGAGGTGAGGAAGCTCTTGCATGATCTGAAAGAGGAGATACACATTATAAAAAGGAATCAAATGGACACGTTAGAGAGGAAGGCTATAATATAGGAAATCAAAACTTATGTTGAAAGTATCAAAAGCAGATTAGACCATGCAAAAGATCGAATCTCAGATGTAGAAGACAGAACCTCCGACCTAGAAAAATTCACCAAAAAGACTGAGAAAAGAACCCCCAGAAACGAGAACATACGAGTTATACTAGATACCATTAAACGCCCAAACATCTGGATAATCGGTATCCCAGAAGGTGAGAAAACTAATAAGGGCATAGACAATCTTTTTTTTTTTGCAGAGGTTTTTCACTATAGGGCATGTACGCTCGCCAGACAGACAGAGAGAGACATAGAGACAGAAAGCGAGAAATCACTCCCCAGGGGGGATGGTCACGCCGCAATCCCTTCTCCTCCATTCTCCTCTCGGGATCTTGGGCACGTAAGCACACGCGCCCGGCGTGAGTCTTAAGCCACCAGGTCCGGGACTCGAAGCACGGTCGACTACGTGGGAGTCCAGCGACATAGCCATTACGCCAACTGCTGGTTCCTGGGCATAGATAATCTATTCCATGGAATTCTGAAAGGAAACTTTCCAAACCTAAAGAGGCACTCAAATATCCAGACCCAAGAAATACAAAGGACCCCACACAGAATTGACCCAAGATCTTTCCCAAAGCACATCATAGTCAGATTGACCAAAACCACAGACAGAGACAAGATACTAAAATTGGCAAGAGAGAAACATCAAGGTACTTTCAAAGGATATCCCATAAGGCTAACATCGGACCTCTCGTTGGAAACAATGCAACCAAGGAAAGAATGGGGAAATATATTCAAAGTGTTAAGTGAAAAACAATTTTGGGACCAGCATTTAATGTAATGGCTATGTTGCTGGACTCTCATGTAGTCGACCATGGTTCGAGTCCTGGACTGGTGGCATGTATGCATGCATGCCCAAGATCCCAAGAGGAGAATGGAGGAAAAGGGATTGCAGTGTGGCCATCTCCCCTGGGGAATGGTGATTTCTCACTTTCTGTCTCTGTCTCTCTGTGTCTTTCTGGTGAGCACACACTCCCTATAGCAAAAAGCTCTCCCCAAAAAATAAAATAGAGAGAGAGAGAAAAAAAATTTCAACCAAGACTACTATACTCAGCAAGATTATCTTTTATATGGGAAAAAAAGGACAAAAACATTCTCAGATAAACAAAACCTGAAAGAATTTACCAACACCATACTAGCTCTCCAAAAAGTGCTGAAGGGAGTGCTATACCAGGAAAACTAAAGTTGGACACACAGAAATAAGAGTACAAAAACAACCAAGAGAATGTCCAGCCTAATGGTAGGAACAAGTCTGGAGTTGAATATCAACTTCCAGAGTTTAAATGGAAAGATCGGGCCACAGCAACATTGCAAATTCAATAGAGGAGAGATTAATTATATGAGTCTGAACTAGTAAAATAGATTTTTTTTTTACTTTAGACTAAAACATTACTAATTTTCTTTGATGCTTTGATTTCCATATTTAAAGATTTTTGTCCTTTCTTCAATTGTTGATAGTTTCATCTACCTACTATTTGAACTAAATCATAACCTTTTTCCTGGCTTTAAGTTTTAAGCAAATTTCTCTTAACATTTTTTGATTTTGATCTATTAAAATTAAAAGGTTTTTTTTCTTTGGGGGGGGGGAGGTTTGCTATAGGGTGCCTGTGCTCATCAGAAGGACAGAGAGACAGAAAGCGAGAAATCACCCCCGGGGGGATGGCCACGCTGCAATCCCTTCTCCTGCATTCTCCTTTTGGGATCTTGGGCACACACGCACACGCGCCGGGTGTGAGTTTAAGCCACCAGGTCCGGCACTCAAACCGCAGTCGACTACATGAGAGTTCAGCGACATAGCCATTATGCAAACTGCTGGTCCCAAAACTAAAAGACTTTTTGAAATTAAAAAAATGAATTTTAAAAATATCTATTAATACCTCTTTAATGATTGCAGTAAGCTGTAGAGCCCCAGCGAGGTGCTACTTTTTAGTATGTTCACTTTACTCACTGAGGTTTATGCCTAAAGTCAGACATGTGTTCTTAAATGTGTATATGTCAGCTGTGCTTGATATTGAAAGTCTTCAAATTAATGAACCCATAAAATGTGAAACAATGGCATGGAAAACAACTGTATATACCAGAGACAGTGTGGGAGAAGAGAGGGAGTTGGCAGAGGGTGAGAGGTAGGGAATAAGCGGGGGAAGCAAAATATATAAGAAATAAGAAATAGAAAATAATTTGTTGATGATAACATATATGGTAATATCCTTGATTGAGCCATTATACAATGTGTACTAAATGGAAAATCTCATTTTGTATACTGTATTGATGTACAGTGAATGGCTGTAAATAAATAAGTAAATAAGCTAGCCTCCCCAAAGAAATAGGTCACTCTAGTGTTAATCTATTAATTTGTCATCAAAGAGCACTCTGCCTGAAAGAAAAGACTGACAAGTGTGCAAAATGTTACAACCTTTTGTGAAATGGTAGCTTATCATTACTGTGTATCTGTAAGTTAAAAAAAGGAAGAAGAAAAAATAAAATGAACACATAAACTATCTATATTATTATTATTTTAAATGGTATATAAATCAGGTAACAACATAACATTAAAAGTAGTAATAAGTCGATAGGGATTAGTCTCAAACCTGATGGGGAAAAAAAATGCATTTTTATTGAATTACCCTTTCTATAAACCCAAATATAAAAATACAGGAATAAAGTTATTTGACAAGATTGAGAGTCTGCTCTGTGGGCAACATTAGACGTGTTGGGAAAATTTTAATTTAAAATTGTGTAGTAAAAATTTTTTTCTGGGCTTATCTTGTAGCATAGCAGTTAAGCCCTGTACACAGAGAATTGGATCCCACGTGGCTGACCATGATTTGAATCCCAGCCCTGGCAACTTGAAAGGCATGCTGGGTACAAGTGCACGTGTGCCTCAAATCTTGAAGGGATGGAGAAACGAAGGAAAAAGGATTGCAGCATGACTATGCCCCTTCACCTTCTCTCTTTTTTTAAATCGCAACCTCTGGTAATTAAAAAACAAGAAAAAACTAGGCAAAAAAACCCCACTGGTGGTGCAGAGGTTAAGGTGGCTGGACCTGACATGGCCAACTGCATGGTTTGAGTCCTGGACCCTGCAGCTTAAAAATCATACTGCATGCCCAAAATCTCCAGAGGAGAAGGGATTGTGGTGTAACCACCCACCTAGGGTTAATTTCTTGTTCTCTCTCTCTCTTTCTGTCTCTAGTGAACACAAAGTTGTATCCTATAACAAACTAAAAAATAAAGTCTTTTTTTTTTAATAGGCTTTTGCTATAGAGCGTGTGCGCTTGCCAGAAAGACAGGGAGACAGAAAGCGAGAAATCATCCCCCCCCACCACCACCACCAAGGGAGGATGGCCACGCTGCAATTCCTTCTCCTTCATTCTCCTCTCGGGATCTTGGGCATGCACGCACATGTGCCCAGCCTGAGTTTTAAGCCACTGGGTCTGGGATTTGAAGTGCAGGTGACTACATGGGAGTCTAGTGACATAGCCATTATGCCAACTGCTGGTGCCCCCCCCCCAAAAAAGTCTTGAAAAAGATTTCCCACGACTATAAGTCTCTAAATGTTAAAAATTATTTTGTACTACAATTCTAATTACTATGAGGATATAATTACTTAAAACATAATTACAAACTTTGACAGCTGGAAGCATAAAAATAGATTATTTTTGTGAGATGAATGGTACCTTTTGCATCCAATTAGCTCATGTACACTAATGTATAAACAATACTGTAGTCTAATATTACTTATTTCCAAAAAGAGTTTAGCATAATTTCTATTGCTTTGGGGGGATATAAATATCAAGAAACCCTATTTGCATACATAAGTAGACATGAAGAGGAATTTTATTATAGCCAGGTCCTTCAATACTTTGAACTCTTCCAAGTTCACAACCAAAAGTCACACACACACACACCACACGATTGAGCACTGGATAATTTTTAGTCATCTATCAACTGATGACTTGTTAAAATAAGTACATTTTTCATCAGAAATTTCTTAGTAACTCACTTTCTCTACACCACAGCAACACTCTGCTTCAAAATCAAGATTCTGGGTGGTAAGTTAATAGACCAACCCACTCAGCTAGTGCTTTAGTCCCTTTTTACAATAACCAAAAGAAGTGCGTGCCCAATGAACATAAACACTTAAATGGGTGGGCAGAACTTTATATATTCTATCTAGATGGAACTTTCTTAGATGATGGAAATGTTATAGATCAGCACCGTCCAGTATGGGAGTCCCTAGCCCCATGTGACAATTTAAATTTAAACATTCTAATGCTTAATATTCAAGTGGTTAGCAGCAACTTTACTGGACAGCATATTTAGATCCTTCTACTCAGAGAGTGGCCTATGGGCAGCTTGTTAGAAATGTAGAGCTTCAGGCCCTGCCTGGGAACTGCTGAACTGGACTATGCATTTTAACCAAATTTCCTGGTGATTCACATATACTCAAAAGTTTGAAAAGCACCGGGTACATTTTCCCCTTATATTGTCCCCAAAAAACCTGCGTTCCTGAAATGTCCACCTGCGAGCCTTAATCTTTACTTTACTCTTGGACACATCGTGCAAAACTGAATCCCCCTTTCCAAGCAACAGTCCTTCCAAGTTATTTGACCGGTTACTAAATCCTCTGCTCACCTACTTTGTCCTTCTCTCCATGCTTAATTTCCTTGGGGTTAAACACCCAGACGTCATTGCCGTACCTCTGTGCCAGACAGGACCGCAAACCTGGTTTCCCGACTCTTGCCAAGCACGTGTCAAACACGTCCAAAGGTTCCCAAGAGCCCAACAGCCCCTGGCCTCTGCGCTGCTCAAGCCTCCCCCCCAAGTCCGACCCTGCCTCCTTGGCTCTTTTGCTCTCGCCCACAGCCCAGTTCCCGTCACCCACCCTCCATCTCCGGGTCCCTTTTCCCGCTTCCCAGCCCTGCTTCCCCTTTCTGGGCTGACACCTGACTCAGAAGACGCGGCCGAGACACGATGCCACGCAGATCGATGTACACAGGGGAGGAAAGCCCGCTTTTCAGCACGAAGTTGCCAAACTTGAAAGCCTCCACGTCGTACAGACCGGTCACCAATGGCCCCAAAGCTGCCCCGGCAGCCGCCATGGTAGCGCGTCCTCAGTTCACTCCACGCGGGAAAGCCCTTCGGCCTCCGGCGCGTCGATGGCGTCACGCGGAAGGCCCCGCCCCTTCCGCTCGCGTGCGGCCGCCCGGCCGCGGGATGGGAGGTGGCGCGGTGCGGCGGTCCTAGCGCCGGGCCCTGTGTGTCCGCTGGATTCCTTCTTATGGGCTCGCGGAGGTCTAAAGCCGGGAGCAGCTAGACTGATTCTAATTCATGAAGTCCAGCCTCAAGAGGCTTTATATAAGTCCTGTCCATTAAAAAAGTAATAATAACTTGTCTGCTCCTTAGCCCAGCGCCTCGTAATTTGCCTATTCTTAGCCACTACTTCCTTCCCCCCCATTTCTCCAAATAGTGTATAAGTTCTGGAAAACAGGGAATTTTGCTCCATTCTTTTATGAGTAGCATTTGGCATATGCGAGTTTCATAGCAATTTGCACACAGAAATATAAAACGTAGTATAGCAGGGAGCTGCCTCTTCGGTAGGCAGTCTGCGCTCTGAGTAGGGCGCGAGTCTCCTAGGCGTAAAACAGATTGAGGAGGGAGGGAGGAAAGTTAGAGGAGGATAAATTGGTCGGAGTCGGTTATCTGGGAGGCTAATCCTTTAGGGTGTAAAATTGCTTTCTTTTCTTTAAAGAATTGTTCTTTTTAAAAATTTAATTCCATTTGTTATTATTACTTTTTAATTTGAGCAGAGAGAGAAAGAAAGGGAGAGCCAGTAAGCAAGCTGCCAGGCCAGGTCGGGGATTCCAACCAGGGTGAACCTAGCGCCTCAACCACCACACCATTTGCAGGTGCTACAAAATTGCTCTTTCTGAGACGCTGGACAAAAAGTGTTGCAATCATAGTATGATATTTTTACCTTGACAAAGGCTTTCGTATATTTAGGGGAAGAAAAAAAAAATCTTTTCTTTAAAGGAAGGTTTTTGGAGGTTTTTTTTTTTTTTTTTTTTTTGCTATAGGGTGCGTGTGCTCGCCAGACAGACAGAGAGACAGAAAGCGAGAAATCACCCCCCGGGGGGATGGTCACCCCGCAATCCCTTCTCCTCCATTCTCCTCTCGGGATCTTGGACACGCACGCACTCGCGCCCGGGGTGAGTTTTCAGCCACTGGGTCCGGGACGCGAACCGCAGTTGACTACATGGGAGTCCAGCGACATAGCCATTATGCTAACTGCTGGTTCCCTAAACGAAGGTTTTGATTAAGGGGAAAAAAAAAGACAACCAGAGATAGTATCTTTAATATAGTATATTTATAGGAATGCATAACATGTGAGATGTACATTTTGAAATTTCATCCATAACTTACAACATTTACTGTAGTAATAACAAGACAGCAGGTCATCACTTTACAACATTACACATGAGTGATTTTTGACTTACAAATAAAATATTTACAACCTTCCTTTACAAAACGACGTTGTGTGCATACAAAATGAACAACTGCAGAAAAATTTAAAAATAATAAAACGACCGAAAACCCAGAAGATACACTTAAGGCAGACCAGCAAGACACTGAAATAATTAAGGCTGTGGAATTCTTCTGCACCTTGAAAATATAGAGCTATTTATCAATACTGTGGAGTGACTTTAAATCAATTGTTACAAGCCTGATGGAAGTATGTACCTATATGTATATGTGTAATGGCCTCTATGGGGAAACCTGTCCAATTATGGAGAAGGCCCTTTATCAGAATGGCCAGAGAAGCCCACCCCAAATTCTTGAGGTGGGGGTAGAGAGGGGTCACTCAAAACCAGGAGGTGCCAGTGCAGCTTCCAAATCATTAATAATTCAATATGATGATACTTCTGAGTTTAGAAAACAGAATAACCCCATTATGGCCAAATGGTGGCCCCATTATTTTACACTTGGTTATGTTGGCTTTGTGGACTTCAAAAGACTGAGTTAATTCCCACAAATTAGCCCCAATGGTTTTGAATTGCCCTAATCAGTTTTCTAATAGAAAAACTGACCCATGTGGGCTGTCTGCAAATGGATAGATTTCTGCATATGAGCAATAACATATACATACATATTATACACTATATACATGTACAGATGTACATATATCCATATTTTCCAACAGTTTGTACTTTGATCACTACTGTTCTCTGATTAGGATCTCCTTCTGAAGAGTACGATTAGTTTTTTCACAGTCTTCCTATTTGTCCTAACTACTAGTTTTACTCACCTTCCCCATAGAGTAAGCCGAAGTTTGGCCAAAACAGAAGTAAAAGCACCAGGGTTTAAAAAAAAAAAAAAAAAAATCAAACACAGAGATGACAGATATGGCTTAAGTTAGTAAGAGAAGATGTATGTTTTGTTAACTTCAAATTCATAACCACAGTCTATGAGGTCATGGTAACAGTCTCCATAGTACTCCAGAACGCGAATCCAGTTCTTGATGGGAATCAGGTAGTGATGGAAAGAACGCCTATGCTGGCTGTCCCTGGGCTAGCACATTAGCTCGGTCAAATTAAGCCTCAGGAGCTGGCATTTCAAGAATGATCATTTGCAGTTTTTCTACCACACTCTCTTCTCAGCTAATCTTACTGTGGGAAACAACAGTTCATCTGACCAAACTGTCATCTTGATCATTTGAATAAAAACTAAATCTGACCACATTTTAGAATATCCCAGCAAATGGGCGGACAGGAAAACACAACAGCCTGTGAATGCTTATTTCAGGTTTTCCATAATTGTCCCCTAAAGATGGAAATTTGCCTTAGAATTATTACTTTTTCCCTCTCTTCTAACGTCTATGTATACTGACAATGAAATAGAAATTATTTTCATAGAAAATATGACCCTACAGTATTTCTGTGTTTTACTATTTCTATATAGTTTTTCAAGTGAATATTTCCTATGAAAAACTTCTACTGCTATGGACAAATTTCAGCCCTTTTGAATTCTCTAGAATTAATAAAACAACCAAGAACCTTACTGGTTTTAAAAAATAAATATGAATGTAATAGCTCCCCTTTTCCTGATGAAGCATTATAAAGCTGCCTTTCCCAAGCCCACTGTGGGTTTAATAATTCATTCCTAAATGATCGGTAGATTTTAAATAGTGAAGAATGATCATGATGCAGTTTTACAAATAACTCCACCGAAAGCTCATATACCATGTTTTCCCAACCCAGACTTCACATAGATGCTACCCAGGAAAGAGAGGAATAAGGACCATTTGCCCCCAAACTCATCCAGTACACTTCATCAGCCACCCTGAAAAAGGACATGGCAAGTCGGCCCTTTTGTCCTACTATGGAGACCCCTTATGTTTAAAATAGCAAATGTGTGGGACAAAGTGTTGGTGAATGCACAGAAATAACCGCCGTTTAGTTTCTATCATATTTGCTCCCTCATGTTCTCACAGATCTAAATTTCCATGTTCTCACACAGGCAAGAAAGTAGTGAGTACCTCATAAGCAGTACATCACGGAGGGTATGGGACAGCAGATATGCTACTCCTGAAAGACCTACTTGTTACAAAGAAAAGAAAAAAAGATCCAAGGTTTTCCCTCCCAAACCAACAATCCAGTGCATTTTTACTCCTGTGTATATAATTTGTCTCTTACAACGGATTCCTGTGAGATGCTGAAGAAATGAGTTGTGATATGGGAAGATCATTTATTCCTACTTCTGCCCTGCCGGTGAGGGAAGTGGTAGTTTGGGCTCTTCTCTGTTCATTTTTCCAGAGCATAAAGCTTGAGAAGAGAAGGCAGTGGTTGCTCAAAGGGCATCTTACTCTTCATGTCTACCATAAGAAAACAGTTTATGGATGGTAGGACTTTATCAGCTCTCCTAACTCTTTTCTGTAGACAAGCTCTTAAATGATCAAAATTATAGGCTAAGACCAAATAACAGACAAAGAGCACCTAGCACGTCCAATTAAAAGCAATTTACAGAATTTAATCTCATGAGTTTATAAATGGTATCTAAAGACAAGAGTATTGAAAACCTGGAATGTTCAAAGTTACTATCAATAGAATTCTTAGCACTGGCAGTGTGTAGCACTTTTTTTTATTTTTTAAAAAGGATTTTATAGACGCCCCAACTAAGGTACTTTCTCAATGTTCCTAGGAGATTAATATCCTCCTTCCTTCTCCCCAACTCCCATTTTACCAATGGGGATATTGGGGGTAGAAAAAAAGCAAAGACTTTCTGTAAGAAAGGATGAATCAGGAATAGCTAAGGTTAAAACTCAAAAATTCCTGGTCCCACCCTATATTCAGATGTTTTCATTTAAAGATATTCTCAAATAAAGGAAAAAAAAATGCTACCATATCAGTACATCTAAATGCAATGAACTTCTTTATTTCCCATCCTCCCCTCTGAAAGGCACTACTATTTATAAAGGCTTTGTGGACCACAAAGCAGTGAAGCCGGCTTCTTCCTCTGCTTCCACGACTCCCCCTTAGATTGCTTATGGCTGAGAGAGACCTTAGGGACACCTTCGGCATGACCATTTCTTCTTTAAACTATTAACCACATTCAGCTGTAAGTGGATATAAACCTACTTAATTTGGAAAAAAAAAAAGTAAAGGATGCAGAAAAATCATAGAAAAATCATTATATTTCTTAAAAGTTATTATAGGTTGTCCCGATCTTTTCCTTTTTTCCTACACCCCATCCTTAAAAAGTAAACACAAAACCCTATGCAATGAATATAAGCCAAGCAAGAAACTTGTGACTTGAACCAACATCTGTTTTTCCTATTTCAACTGGAAGTCCGCTGCCACTACGAACTGCGGTAATTATGGTAGAAGTGGACTTGTTTTCTCTTCTCTCCCCTCTTCTCTACTTATTACCGAGTAATGAGTCTTTCTGCCAAAACAGGTACGAGAGAGTGGTCCCTTGTTTTCCCACTCCACAGTCGCCCACAGAGCAACCTAGAGTACATGCCCCAGCCCCATCTTTAGGGATTCCTTGTTAGTCTCAATTTGCTATAGAGAATTCTGAACCAAGACCACATCTAATTCCTGTTGGGAGGAACCAGGAGCTTTGCAGACAGGGAGTCTCCTTATTGGTTTTCTTCAGTTATCAAACTATATAAAATATACCCCCTTTCTCTTAGGGCCTCTCTTAGGTTCATTCTAGTCTAATGATTGTACTTTGGCTCCAGTTAGCAAATTCATACTGCTTTTCATTTCATTTCTATGTCCCTTCTTTCCGGTCTTCTTATACCCCCAAAATGTGTACTTGAGGGAATTCCATGCCACCCCTCATCTGGATCATCTTTACTCTGCTGTAAAACTTTGGCTCTAATATTCTGTCACCCGGTCCACTCACAACATGGTGTTAATAATGTCCTCTGCAGTAGCTGCTGCACCATCGTCCCAGGCCCTATCCCTCTCTAGCAGAAACTCCGTTTGTCACGAACATTCCAAATGACTCAGCAGAGGGCTCTATTCAGTTCAGCCACAGCAGACAGAAGAGAACTTGTCAAGTCCTACTTCACAGATATTCAGAATCCTTGGAACTTGCATTCTAATCCCATGACAAACCCTATGGACCAAGGCTTTCTTCTTGTATGTTCTATATCATAATGAAGACATGTTTACTAAAAGAGTTTTTAGTAAATATGTTTAAATTTTAAAATATTGTATCAGATAGATTTGTATATACATAGGTTTAGATGAAGAATATGGAGGCTTGGTTAAGGAAAGCCCTGAGGGAGTGGGGCTTGATGACCCAGGGCCATTGGAAAAACTAGGGAACGAATACAGTCAGTGTCAGTTCCCACATATTTGGTTAATTCCCAAAATACTACATGCTGTCTAGTCTTATTGCTTGTACTTTCTACTAATTTATTCATCTGTAATCTTGGATGGGATAAGGTGGAGGGTAGATGAGGAAGCTGACTTTGAAGCCAATGGAAAAGCATGACAAGTGTTTGAATTCTACATTTCCACTGTGGGAACAAGTATTTTTTATATATCAAAGTTCAGGCTTAGTTTCTGCCATTTCTTTTTCACTGAAATAGGTTTGTAGTTCTGTTTATCCTTAATAAATTCTCGGCTTGTACTTCAGTGCTCTGCATGGTTTTAATTTTCTCAATCCCATTATAGGAGAGAAGGAATGTCATTAAGCCTGATTTGAACAAACACTCGAATTACAGTTTTAAAATATTAGTGCATAATAACAATTTCAAAACACATTCTAGAAAACAAAGGATAGATCATGTACAAACACAAAAGACAATTCTTCCCCTAAAGGCAGAGAAAGAAAAAAATAAGAGAAACCATGAAATGCCCAGGTTTAAGTCTTTTCCCACCGGAGGGAAAAAGGGCAGTTAGCAATAATCTTGTATGGAGAATATACACCAGAAGCAGCACTGGGGCCTCAAAGGACAACGAGTCCTTTTAGTCCAGAGAAATATCGGCCACTGAGTGGTGACAGCTATTGCAATCTCAGTTACAGTTCAATGCTCTGTTAGGGTGATGGACCAGGTTTTGCTCCATGGCTTCTAAAAGGACTTGGGAGCAGGCCTTGCAAAGGCCTTTATGGCTGCCTCCTTTTGGTAAGTCCCCCTTGGCTTCAATAAGGGGATTGAGTAAGCAAGCCAGCTTTCTGAAGACTGTATTCTACTGCTGTAGAAGAAATCAGAAAGTCTTGGTATGTTGAACTGCAGAAATGTTTCTATTTGCCCTTTTGTATGAACCTGTTAAACTCATTTACCTATTTCAAACCAGGTGTAGACATAAAAATAGCCCCCACGACTCTTACTGTATTTGGACTTATTTCCTGGCAGGCTTTCCTGCCAGACTAACTCTCAGCTGCCAGTGAATTCGGGGGTAGCATTTCATAGACAGAACCTATTTTAATCAAATAATCTATCACAGAGAAAAAAATCTTCTCATTCACAGATTGCCAAAGGGTAAAATCGCTTTCTTTCAATGCAATGTGCAGGTTCTGGTAAAAGATTTCTATACAAGATTTATAAAATGCTCTAAAAAACTTGTCATCTAATTGTGCTTAGTCAAAACAATGTAATGTTTTGGTAAATAAATTATTGTCTTAACTGGAGCACTCAAATTTACTTATGATTGATTTCATATATAACTCTATATTATAAAACTCTGAAACCTGAATGGGATATATTATACTGCGTGTGTGTATGTAGCTATGTAGTCTGTTAAGAAACTATATTCTAAGTCATCTAAACCAGAATAGTGGACATATAGGACATCTCTATTAAATAGAACTTTTTGCTTAAAATTTCAGCAAAGACAGAAACCTTTTACACTCATTTGAGTGAGTTTAAGGTGGCCCAGTTAATCACTTTGAAACATACAATTAAAATTTGATAACAGACAATATTCTTGTTACCCTTGCCTTTCCTTTCAATACTTTCTGTGACTCTTTGCATCTTTAGTTTTTCAGAGTGACCTCCTCAAAAGCCCCGGGTTTAGGGTGAATTTTACTGCTGCTCAGACCCTGAATAACCACTGACGAGGTTTAAGAGGTACACCTCTCAATCCAGAGAACCACATGGAGTGAAATAATGGACAGAATTATTTACAGGCACATTCAGTCTTGCTTTGGTTCACACTGCACTTCTATGTGAAACCTCAGGGGCTGGGAGATGGCTATGTCCCTTGGTTCGCTCGGTTGACAATGTAGCTCTTGACATTGGGAACAGGCCGCACGTCATTCTGGTGCTTGCGGCGCTCGATGAAGCACGCCAGGCGAGAGGTGTCCAGGGGGACCTTGGAGTAGCTGCCATTATGAGGCTGCAGCCATGGGTGCTGCAGGCAAGTGGCCGCTGTGGGCCGCCTCCGAAAGTCTTCCTGTAAGATCACATTGATGAAATCTCTGGCAGCATTGCTCACCCCACAGAAGTACTCGTGGGGGAAGCTGAAATCCACCCTGCACACATTGATACACGTCTCTTCCTTGCTCTCATCCAAGAAGGGGGAGACCCCACTCAGCATGACATACGTCAGAACCCCGATGCTCCAGATATCTGTGCCCAGGGAGACAGGGATGCCTTGGATCACTTCTGGGGCAGCAAACTCGGGGTTCCCCAGCAGGTGGTGGATATGGAAGTGACCTGAGATCTGAACAGCATCCTCCAAGTCAATGAGCTTCACTCGAGGCACTGGAATCCGGAGGTCAATGAGCAGGTTTTCAGGCTGCAGAGATGCAAGGAGGCAGGGAGAAGAGAAGGCAAGTTCAATCTTCTGTCTTGATTGCCAGTAGGACATCATTAATCAAAACAGTTTGCTATTCTTTGATAAATCCTACAGTGTATGAGAAATTCTCTATGTCAAGTGCACAGGAGGTTTCAGATTACGAGTTTGAACTCACTATATCTGAGTTTGGGTCATACTTTGACACTGCAAATCACATATTCTTAACTACCTTCTATGGTTTGGATAATGATTTGTCCCCCAGAGATTCACATTTGGGAACTTGAGCCCCAGCACTGGAAGGTGGTAAGACCTTTAAAAGATGAGGCCTAGTGACCAGTGACTGGATCACGGAGGCATTGCTCCCATGAATGGATTAACAATGTCTCATAAGACCCAGCGAGTTTTAGCTCTCACGAGAAGGAATGGATTAAGGAATCATGAGAGCAGTTTGTCATTAAAGATGGCTGCCCCCAGGTCTCTCTCTCTCTCTGTACATGCCTGTCAACTTCTCTGCTTCTGTCAGCTATGTTGTGTTGTAACTAGCCTGATGCCAGCCTCATGGTTTAGGATTTTCCAGTCACCAGAACTGTGAGTCAAATAAACCTCTATTTTTAATATTTTATCTTGTCTTAAGTATTTCCATTAGCAACAGAACAGCATACCAAGATGCTACCCTTTGCTTCTGTACTAAATCAAGAAAAGAATAAATAACTCATTATGGAGAATAGAGGCTTCATTTTGAGCAGTGTGAAAGAGAAATGACATTTATTGGCTTCCTTCTATAAAGCTGGACTACGTAGTTAAACCTTCCCTACCTTCTCTTGCACCAGCATTATGACTCTAGCATGTGCTCTTTAATTGATGAATAATACACTTAAAATTACATTATAAGCTAGTTTCTGTTTAATAGTCATAAGAGGTCTAATCAAAGTAGATTAAATAAATTGAAAATTACATCCTTCGAGGGTAAAGGACTGGTAAGTTGGACTTCCGCCTTTTCCCTCCAAAAATTGCTATTTCTTCTTACCTTTATGTCTAGATGTGCAACCCTGCAGTTGTGAAGGTACTGCAGAGCTTCCATGATGTCTCGGATATAGAATGCCACCTTTTCCTCCATCAGCTCATCATGATTCATAAGGTAATCTAAGAGCCGGCCATCATCCATCCTGGAAGTAAGGTGGAAAAGGCAAAGGAAATGTGTGAAGAAACAGAAAAATCACCTGCGTACACATCTGCAAGAGCCCTGAGGGCTCTCTGAACCTCTATCAAGAGTGAGATATCAGCGGGAACTAGCAGTTAGTGTAATGGCTATGTCGCTGGACTCCCATGTAGTCAACCGCAGTTCGTGTCCCGGATCCGGTGGTTTAAAACTCACTCCGGGTGCGTGTGCGTACATGCCCAAGATCCCAAGAGGAGAATGGAGGAGAAGGGATTGCGGCGTGACCATCCCCACTGGGGGGTGATTTCTCGCTTTCTGTCTCTCTGTCTCTCTCTGTCTGTCTGGCGAGTGCACGCACCTTATAGCGAAAACCTCTTAAAAAAAAAAAAAAAGAGTGAGATATCAGCCACATCCTGATTAATGGGGCCTTCATGACTGTAAGCAGCACCACAGAAGTTTTGCATATAGCTCTTATTTGTAGTTTTTAGTTGGGGAAAGCAGAGTGTAGGCAAGGTTTGTCCTTGGCATTCTTGATCCCTTTTTGAATCCTTTGTTTTCTGGCAACTTCCCAACCTTAAAGACTACAACTGAGAACATGGAGACAGCCAGACCCAAATCTGAATCCTGGTTCTGTCATCTACAGACCAGGGACTGGAGGTAAGTCATCTAAACTCTCCATTCTTGCTTTCCTTGAAGCACACCATCTTTAAACAGGAAATAATAATAATGACAAAATAATAATATTAATGCCTACTACTTATGAATATTGTCTAAAGATCTATGAAGATAATAAGGCATTTAAGAAAAATTAACAGCATAAGGGACCAGCAGTTAGCGTAATGGCTATGTCACTGGACTCCCACATAGTCGACCACGGTTCACATCCTGGACCGGGTGGCTTAAAACTCACACCGGGCACATGTGCGTGCGTGCCCATGATCCCGAGAGGAGAATGGAGGAGAAGGGATTGCAGTGTGACCATCCCCCCTGGGTAGTGATTTCTTGCTTTCTGTCTCCCTCTGTCTGGCGAGTGCACATGCCTTATAGCAAAAACCTCTTTAAAAAAAAAAAAAAAGAAGCATTAACAGCATAAGTAAATGCTTAAGAAATGGTAGTTCTTTTCAGGCAGTCTATGACCTCTTACAGCAAAGAGTGACCAAATGTGAGGCAATTATTATTTAAAAAAATTTTGTTTGTTTCTTTGTTTTGTTTTGTTTTTGGAGAGTTTTTGCTATAGGGCATGTGTGCTCGCCAGAAAGACAGAGAGACACAAAGAGACAGAAAGCGAGAAATCCCCACCCAGGGGGACAGCCTTGCCTCCATCCCTTCTCCTCCATTCTCCTCTCAGGATTTTTGAGCATGCTCACATGTGCACCCAGTGTATTTTTCAAGTCATGGATCCAGGACTCGAACTGTGCTGTTGCCTATGTGGGCTCTAACTGTCTTAACTAGTACGACACGGGCTGGTCCAAACAATTATTCTTTTATGTGTACTGAGTTATTACATGCACGTCCTGGGGAGGTAATGCTCGGGCAAAGGAGCTTCAGTTGGGTTCAGAAACCACTTTTGAACATAGTTAAAATGTCCCTGGCCAAGTTCCATTCTCCCCTCTAGATTGTTCCTTTCCACTGGTCTCTTCTACTTTTCTTTCTTTTTATTTCTTTGGAGAGATTTTTGCTATAGGGCGTGTGCACTTACCAGAGAGACAGAGAGACCACAAGCAAGAAATCATGCCCCAGGGGGGATGGCCATGCCATAATCCCTTCTTCTCCATTCTCCTTTTGGGATCTTGTACACACATGCACACATGCCCAGTGTGAGTTTGAAGCCACCAGCTCCAGGACTTGAATCACATTTGACCATGTGGGAGTCCAGGGATGTAACCATTACATCATCTGCTGGTCCCTCTCTACTTTTCTTTTTCTTTATTTTTTAAGAGTTATTTTATTTAACTTTTATTTATTTGTTTATTTTTAATTCGACCAGCGAAGAACAGAGCGAGAAAGAAAGAGAGAGAGGGAAAGTGAGAAAACGAGCCACCAGATCTGTGATTTGAACTGTGGTGAGCCATGTGGGAGTCTAACACCTTAACCACCATGCCACCTGTCAGTGCCTAGGCATAGAATTTTAAGAAAGCTCTCGGGAAGCACACCCCCCCCAAAAAAAAAAACCCTCAAAAAAAAAAAAAAAAAAAAAAAAGAAAGAAAGAAAAAAAAAGAAATTAAGTTGTCAGGTCTGGGACTTGAACCTTGGTTGGCCATGTGGGAGTCCAGTGCCCTTAACTACCTTGCCATCTGCTAGCCCCTCTATTTTTTTTTAAGATTTATTTTTAATTTTATTTATTCTTCTTCTTCAGTTTTGACTAGAAAGAGACAGAGAGAAAGGGAGAGTGAGAAAGCAAGCTGCCAGGTTCAGGACTCGAACCGTGGTTGGCCATGGGGAGTTTAATGCTTCAAGCACCATGCCACCTGCTGGTTCTCCTCTTCTTTTCTTGACAGGAGTGAAGACGAGGACCAATGAAACCCTCATTTGCCCTGCTCTGGCCCCAAAGGGGTTGGGGTGAGAGTGGTTAAGAGTAGAGTAGAGAGGAAGAGGATTGGGCTTGTTAAATGCACTCTCCTGAACTTCTAGGAGAGCTTAAAAGATAGATTTACAGGGGCTGTGCTCCAAGACTGAAATGTCTTAGCCACCAAGTATAACCTTAGAGCTGTTGGATAATGTGGATGCTCAAGTCCATCCCAGAGTAGAAAGTCAGAATCTTGGTTTCCTGGCAGAGGAAACCCTCATCAGAATTCTGATAACAACCATAGCGAAGGCCCACAGTCACTGTGTAGCCAAGATTCAGCCCGTGGTTAGCTCAGACACTGCCTCTCCACCAGTCTTCCCTGAACATCAGTTCCAACCAATCATGCGTGTGTTTCTTAGTACTCATCATGCTTTATTTATCTATTTATCTCTTGGTCTTCCTCATTAGACTTATTACTCCTCTAGGACAAGAACTATACCTTCTCACTGTTGCTCCCTCATCCCAGCCCTGGTCTGCACTGTGTCAGGTGCGTGGTGAGTACTCAAGTCCAAGTTTGCTAACGTAGCTCAACACAGTGGTCATTTAAGTTCATCAGTTTCACAGACCAGGACTCTGGAGCCCAGGTAACTAAGTATTCTGTTCCAAATCACAGAACTGGGACCTGAGCCCAGATTCTTCTAAGAACAGCTTGTTTCCATTGCACTGATAAACAGCACCCAGCCTTGGGACAGTAGTCAGAAAGTCTGAAGAGGTAAAGGTTCTAGGTCTGCTGACCCTTCTTGGTACACAAGCGACAAGCTTGGTACACAAGTGACAACGCGTGTTACTATAACTCAAGCAGAGACATCCCCACTCATACCCAAGGATAGTTCATTACCAACAGAACATGCCTTTTGAGTTAGCAAGATCCCAACAAACGGGTAAGACTAGGAAAACTGTGAGTTTATTTATTAAATCCAAAGACTGACACACTACTGATGACTACACAACTATGTAAAGTTTCACAAAAGGATTTTCAAATGCTAACAGGGCTGATTTTGTCTCCTCTTGTTTCTTCTCAATGGATTACACACATTAAAAAGAGGTTTTGATTTTATCTTTTTTTACCAGAAAGAAATGCAGATGGGGCCAGGCAGGTGGTGTGGTGGTTAAGGGCACTGGACTCCCACATGGCCGACCACCACGGTTCAAGTCCCAGACCTGGTGGCCTGCTTTCTCACTATCACTCTCCCTCTCTCTCTGGTAAAATGGACTACTACTACTACTAAATAAAATGGAATAAAATAATTTAAAAAAAAGAGATGTATGCTGTTACTCCTTCAAAGACTCTTTGTATACACTCCATGTACTAGCCAGCATACAAAACAAGACTAAAAGGGCAGATGAAAAAATGCAGAGACTTCTCCACTGAACACGGGTGCATGAGAAGCCACACACGGCATTAGTCTCCGGTGGAAAAGTCTGTCTCCTGTCTAGACCAAGGGCCTTGTTAGCATGTTATTTCTGTCACTCCTGAACAAATTGTTCTCCCTAGCCTCTGTGAGACTTCCCTAAACCACAGAGCACGCCCGCTGTTCTTAGCTTGGGTTAGGAGAGGAGAGAATGCGTTCTTCCTGCTCTATTTGACCAAGCTCATGTATATGGTTGCCTGAGTCCCTAGAAAATCTGGAATGAGTGGAATATTTGAAGGTAAGGTCCCACCCTAACAGGAATGTCTTACAGATAGTAGACTGGGGATGCTATGGCAGCAAATTGGCCCGTAAACTCTCCCGCTTTCATTTCTGCCCCACCTGTCAGTTAGCTTACCGTTGTAAGCTCTACCTAAAATCCCGCCCAGCTCAATAACAGAAAGAAAACAAATTGGAGTGAGATATAGTCGAAGTCCCAGTTTCTTACTTCCTTCAGGACCTTCCATGCCCTTGATTTTCTAATCTATAAAATAAAAAATAACATTTATCTAAAATGGGGAGAGAGAGAGTGCACGTTACATTCAGCACTTGGTAAACTATCAATATAAAACATCGCATAAAACGTAACTATCTTTTGTAAACTGTGGGCAAGAAGTAAACCGAACAGATGGGATCACTTTCAAAAAGCGACAGCTGGGGGCCAGCAGGTGGTGTGGTGGTTAAGGTGCTAGACACTCCCACCTGGCTGACCACGGTTCGAGTCCTGGGCCTGGTGGCTTGCTTTCTCACTTTCCCTGTCTCTTTCTCTGTGTGTCTTTCTCTGGTCAAATTAAAATAAATAAATGAATAAATAAAAATTAAAATAAATACTTCTTTTTTTTTTAAAAAAAAAGGAAAAGTGACGACTATACTTACAGCTCCAAGATGAGGATGTAGGATGTGGGGGACTCATAGGTGTCATGGAGAGTGATGTACTGGGGATGCTGCAGGTGCTGAAGGAGGGCGGCCTCATGGGCAGCCTGCTCTTTCTTCTTCATTTTTTTGCTAACGAATTTCACAGCAACATCTTTGCGGGTAGCTTTATGAATGCACTTCTTGACTATAGAGAAACGGCCTCTGGAATGCAAAATTGAGATAAGGTTTTCCAGTATTCATCAATAGACTCAGTATCATTTTACCCAGGGATGTATACAGTTTTGTGTGAAGTGGTCAGACAGTTAACATTATCCAGGGATGTATACAGTTTTGTGTGAAGTGGCCAGACAGTTAACATTTTTTTTTTAAATGAATCTCACTTTCGAATATTTAAATTATAATGATATTGAGAAAACCCATTTTCCTTCCTTAGTAATTTAGAGCTCTTTTTTTTGTTTTTGTTTTTGTTTTTTTGAGAGGTTTTTGCTATAGGGTGCGTGTGCTTGCAGGAAAGACAGAGAGAGACGGAGAGACAGAAAGCAAGAAATCACCCCCAGGGGGGATGGCCACACTGTAACCCCTTCTCCATTCTCCTCTCGAGATCTTGGGCACGCATCCACATGCACGAGTGTGAGTTTAAGCCACTGGGTCCAGGGCTCAAACTGCAGTGGACTACATGGGAGTCCAGTGACATAGCCATTATGCCATCTGCTGATCCTAAGCTTAGCTCTCTTTTCTTTCTTTCTTTTTTATTTTTTGGAGAGGTTTTCACTATAGGGTGCGTGTGCTCGCCAGACAGACAGAGAGAGACAGAGAGACAGAAAGTGAGAAATCACCCCCCAGGGGGGATGGCCACGCCACAATCCCTTCTCCTCCGTTCTCCTCTCGGGATCTTGGGCACGCACGCACACACGCCCGGTGTGAGTTTTAAGCCACTGGGTCCGGGACGTGAACTGCGGTCGACTACGTGGGAGTCCAGCGACATAGTCATTACGCTAACTGCTGGTCCCTAGCTTAGCTCTCTTTTCTAAGCAGAACATATTTCTATAAAACACAACAGCAACAACAGTAGCAACATTTAAAAAGGAGGAACTCTACTCATTGATAGTTTTAAAACATTTTAAAGGAATTATTTCATTTTATTTTATGCTTATCTTTTTACTAAGAAAAATTTCTAATATATACAAAAGTGAAGAGAATAGAACTCCTATGTACTCAGCTTCAATAATGATCAACATTTTACTAATCTTTTTTCATCTATTCATTTTTCACTCCAGAGTATTTTTTTTTATACTTTGTTTTTTATTATAAATTTTTTTTCTCATCACAACACACATATGAATTTTCCATCCAAAATACACTGTGCATTGGCTCAATCAAGCACATCAACATATATGTTCTCAGCAAATGATTTCCCAATTTTTGTGTCCTGCATACCTTGCCTTTTGTTTTGCCATCCTAGGTTCCCCATCCCCACCCTCTGCCATGTCCCATCTTCCTGCACGCCCGCACACACGCCGGGCATGAGTTTAAGCCATCTGGTCCGGGACTCGAACTGCAGTAGAGTACATGGGATTTCAGCGACGTAGCCATTATGCTAACTGCTGGTCCCCCAACAGGGTCTTGATGCTGTGGCCTACCCCCAGCTTTAGCTAGTTTCAGATCAAAGGCACAGGAGTGCCCAGAGTACTCAGGGAGGTCTCCAGACATGAACCTGGAACCTTCCCCTGTCAGCCTCACAAGGTTCAGGGGAGGAATTTAACAAGCCTAATCTTCTTCCTCTCTATTCCACTCTTACCACTCTTCCCCACCCTCGACAGACAAGGCAAACAAGGGCTTCATTGGTCCCAGCCTTTGGTCCCGTGGAGGTAGGTAGAAGAGACCAGTGGAAAGGAACAATCCAGAGGAGAGAATGGAAGTTGGCCAGGGAGATTTTCACCATGGTCAGAAGTAGTTTCTGAACTGGGGCCAGCAGGTGGCGTGGTGGCTAAAGGCGGTGGACTCTCACATGACTGACCACAGTTCAAGTCTCAGACTTGGCAACTGGCTTTCTCTTTCTCTCTCTCTGTCCATCTCTGGTCAAATTAAAATAAATAAATAAAGTTATAAAATAATTCTTTAAAAGAAAAAAAAAAGTATTTTCTGAATTTAGCTGAGCTGGGGGTAGACCACTGAGTCAAGATCCTATTGGACCTGGGGATGGCAGGTGGTTAAAGGTGCTGGACTCCCCGATGCCTGACCATGGTTCAAGTCCCAGACCTGGTAGCTTGCTCTCTCTCTGGTCAAAATTGAAAAAATAATGATAATAAATAAATAATTCTTAAAAAGAAAAAGATCCTGTTGGACTTGTTCTTACAGAAGAAAATATCAAAATTTTTTAAAAATGAAAGTATAGCTAATATTGTATTTTGAAGAAAATTTGAGGCTTAATTCTGTTTTTTTTTTTTTTTTTAGAGACAAGGTTTTGCTATGTTGTCCAGGCTGGGCTAGGACTGGCAGTCCTCCTGTCTCAGCCTCCCTTTCCACGCTGGGACTACAGACATGTACCATGGGGCCTGGCTTAAATTCTTAAATGTATTAGAAAAGAAGAAAGACTAAGAGTTGATGAGTGAAATGTCTAACTTAAGCTAGAAGAAGAACAATAGAAAGTACACGTAAATATTCAAGTTATTTTCTTACTATGGAGTGGATACATTTATGAAAAAAAAAACAATAAAAAAATTGAGTCGCTATTCTGCGGTGGTGTTGTCAGGTGCTTATTATGAATGAAGAAATAGAAAACTGTATCGTTACCTTCCAATTTCATTCAGCTCAGTATAAGCAGAATCAAAATTTTCCTTCCAAGAAATGGTGGCTCCATCAGCAGCAGCATCTGGAAGAGAAAAAAAATCCATTTTTTGATTTTGATGATGTCAGACGAGAATAAAAGAAAGGTTCACAGAAAAGCTCCAGCATGACCCCAGCGCCATTCTCACGACTAAATATGGAGTCTGACTCAGTGGGAAAATGCCACGATTCTCTGGAATGTTATTTTTAAAAATGTCATCTAAGGAGCAACTGACAGGACAGTCAGACCCTCCCTGCCATTTACTTAAACAAAAGGGAAACTCGGGACCATTAGAAATGGAACGTCTGGATATTTTAAAATGGAAAGTTGTAGAAAAAAATAAAAAGGGAGAGAGGAAAACACCATGAAGGCCTAGAGAAGTCAGCAATCATTGGGGCTATATGGAGGATGCAGGGAGGGTGGGGATAGTTATGAGGTCAAGAAAGGAGAAAAGGACATTCAAAAAATACTTTTCTAGAGGTTTTTACCTTAGGGTACATGTACTTGCTGCAAAGAGAGACAGAGACAGTGAGAAGGAAAGTGAGAAATCACCCCTCAGGGGATTGGCCACACCTCAATCCCTTTTCCATTCTCCTCCCAGGATCTTGGGCACAGATGCAAATGTGTCTGGCATGATTTTCAAGCCACCAGGTCTGGGACTTGAACCATGGTCAGCCATGTGGGAATCCAGCAATGTAACCACTGTGCCATCTACTGGTCCCCCAAATTCATTTTTCTTACCAACTTATATTAGGAATGAACTCATGTTAGGTGTTAATGAGCTTATCTGGTATATCTAGTGATTAACTTACTCCACGATATATGCCAAAGGAGATTCTTTGGCAGCTTTATCTTATATGATGTGTTAACTTCCTGGCAATGATTTATACACTTACACACACACACACAAACACACACTCTCACAAGCATGCACACCAATTGCCTTTGTATTTGTGTTGTCCACTGACAACCAGGCATGGGTTGTCCTGGGGCAGGATTGAGTTGGGGAGCCAGGTCAGCAGCTCGGCTCTTCCAAGCCAGAGCTGATCACAGAGGCTGCCTGGACACTACGTGCTGAGGCCGAAGGTGGCTTATCCACACCAAATTCCGGGCAGGGACCCAAGGCCAAGGTTTCCCAGTGACTCACAGGCCAGTGGGAACAAAAGCCACTGGGAGGGAAGTGACTGGGCTGGCAGTAGGGGCGGGGCTGGAGAGCACTTCAGGATGGGGGACAGGGAGGTGGAGAGACAGGGGAGAGATGGGTAGATGGAGAGACAGAGGGGGTAGAGATGGAGGGGAAAGATGGGGTGATGGAGAGGGTCAGATATTTAGCCAGAGAAAGGGGGAAGAGAGAGACGGAGCCAGAGATGAGAATCAGAGAAGGGAACAGAGACAGGAAGAGACAGATGAGAGAAACAGGGAGTCTGTGTCTGTGAGACTTGACCAAGCCCTCTGGGAACTCTGGAATTCACCAGCCGAAGAGCCACAGGCCCACTGCATTTCGAGCACAGTGGCCGCTCCCTTCCCCACCACACACACAATCCTTGGTACTGCCTGGTAGCTTTCTATGTGGAGAGTTCTTTAGGAGAGCAAGTTTCCTCTTTCAGAATGGCCCTGGGACCAAGTGGCTTGGTGAACAGAGTGGGCAAATACGTACTAAGTGAAGTACTTGTGTTTAGCGAGTTTGACATCTATCTTAGTGAATTTCTTTCTTTTTTTTTTTTTAAGAGAGATTTTTGTTATAGGGCATGTATGCTCACCAGAAAGACAGAGAAACAGAAAGTGAGAAATCACTCCCCAAGGGAGATGGCCACACTGCAATCCCTTCTCCCCTGCTCTCCTAGGGATCTTGAGCATGCACACACTTGCACATATCCTCTGTGAGTTTCAAGTTGCTGGGTTCAGGACTCAAACCATGGCTGACTACGTGGGAGTCCAGAGATGTAACCATTATGCCATCTACTGGTCCCTATCTTAGTGAATTTATGAATAATTCTATGTAAGAATATATTCATGTTGAAAACAAATTCTGAAAGAGTTAGGGGTAGAGAAACTATCAAATATTCTCTTCGTAGTAAAATCCCCATTTTAAGTTAACCCCTAAGGCTGTGAAGAATATTTATGTCCTGTAGGGGACTTGAGTGGGAGAAAGCCTAAATTCCTGCCCCAGTAGAAGTCCATGTGACTCATGGCTCCTGCCTGTCCCTGTCTGCTCTGGAGACATGCTACTTCCCTGGGAGCTTGGCAGGCCCACGGTTAGGCCTGGTGACAGACCTGATGTCTGCCCAGAGACCTAGAGTCACACTTTATGGGAACACTCTTCAGCAGGCCCATAAGACACTGCTTGCCTGAAGCTGTCGGGCAATCCCAGGTCACCTCCTGCCTGTGGGCCAACATGCCGAGGAGAAGCTAGTGCCAGTGATCTTTCAGCAGGCCAAGTGCACTGCCCACAGGCCACCACCCCCACCTGGGGGCCCCTGGTCCTGGCTGGGACTCACCATATTCCGGAAGTCGCACAAACTCTGAGGGCTCGCTGGGCAGGCTGATTCCCCAGGGGTTACTGGCACTGACTCTGAACTGATAAGGACATCCAGGACTGAGGTCTTCGATAACGAGGTATGTGTCCAAGGTCGAAGCTACCGACTGCTGCCAGACCTGAGAACCTGGTGCAGTTTCCAAGGAAAGGGAGAGAGAAAAGCCAAAGGGACATTGTTTCAGAGACCTTCAGCAAACAAAGAAAGGAAAACTTTCTTCATTCAAGGGACAGTGTGTCACTGAGTCAGGCTCTGCAAGCCTGTGGGCCAACCATGGCAGGTTTGGGCTTGAGTTCCTACATGACTGAATACATGGAGGGACGGGAAGAAGTTGGCCTACAGTTTGGTTTATTTTCAAACGTGCAAGGGTGAGGGCGAAAAGGCACAGGTAATGCAGATTTCACAGAGGAATGTATGTGGTATTTTAAATACGATCAAAAGAATATATCCTAAGTTAATAACAGAATGAGAAATCTACATTTGAAAGTTAAAACAAAGTAGAAACAAACATGTATTGGGCACTATGTCCACATAAAATACTATTTGGAAGGTGTCTTCTACGTAATTTTCTCATTTAATTTTCTCACGTACACACTCAGAAATCCGATGCAGTAGGGAACATGAATCTTACTTTACAGATGAAGAAACTGAGCCTCAGAAATATTAAACGATGTGTCCAAGAGAACTTAGTTAATGAGATGGACTATGAGCTGAATATTGCTCAGATATATATAGACTTTGTGGAATGTGTCCCCCAGGGCAGCATGAATACCTTGCATTGTCCTGGGAGACACAAGAGTGAACAGCTTAATAAAGCTGCAGAAATAATCCGTTTTATAACTACACAGGACCTACTTAATAAAAAGAGAAAGAGTTAATAAGAACAGGGGCCAGCAGGTGACATGGTGGTTAAGGTGCTGGACTCCCATACGGCTGACCATGGTTTGCATCCTGGACCTGGTGGCTTGCTTTCTCTCTTTCTCTTTCTCTCTCTGATCAAATTTAAAAATAATAATAACAAATGGAATTAAATATATAAATAATTATTTTTAAAAATAAGAACAATGGAAAGTAGTGTCAAACAAATCATTCTGGTTCTGTGAGGGGAGCGTGGATGTATTCAGTTTGATTGTGAAATTCATAATGTGTTTCAGACATGCATTATGAACAGTTAGAATTGACTGGAAACTTTTTAATTTTAATTCTTCTAAATAATGAGATGGATTAGTTGTTTTTAGTTCCTGAAGGATTTTTTTTTTTTTTTTTGCCATAGGGCTCATGAGCTCACCAGAGATAGATAGAGATAGAGGGAAAATGAGAACTCAAGAGATAGACAGAGATAGAGGGAAAATGAGAACTCACCCTCCCCCCAGGGGGATGGCCACACTGCATTCCCTTCTTCTCCGTTCTCCTCTCGGGATGCATGCACTTGTGCTAGTGTGACTTTCAAGTCAGTGGGTCTGGGACTCAAACCATGGTCGGCCACGTGGGAGTCCAGCACCTTAACTACCATGCCACCCGCTGGCCCCCGTTTTATTCCTTTTTGTATATGCCAGAGGACATATGCATGTGCATGAGAAAGAGTAAGAGTGAAACAGAGAGAGAAAGTACTCCCCAAGAGGCCTGGTCACACTGCAATTCTTTTTTCTCTGGTTCTCTATCCCATCAGGATCCTGGGTGCATGTGCACAACATGTTTTTCTATCTGTTGGGGCTGGGATTCAAACCTTGGTTAGCTACAGGGGATCTGACTTTCTCTGCACAGTGCTTAATTGCTGTGCTACAAGCCAGCCCTGAATTGCAGTTTAAAAAATACACATGCATACATGCATATACAGGGGCAGTGGGAGACAGGGCTCAGGTATACTACCCTAGGTACAACTCTGGGAGAAAGATAACAAGTTAGTAAACTGGAGAGCTGGGTTCTAGTGCTAGCTCTGCCTTTTAGTAAGTAAAATGTTATGTTTCTTGACTTTTTTTAGGCCTTGCCTCGTCATCTGTAAAATACACCTGATCATCCCTGTCTGAGTGAGTGTGTCATGTAGGTAAAGCACGGGAAGGCACGCTGAAACCTGCCCTGGGTCTTGCACATGGCAGAGCTTTACATCATCTTAGTGAGGACAGCTGCTGGACATCTGAGCTCAGATGGGGGCTGCAGTTGACATGGAAGCTTTGTGCTATGTTGGAAGACACTAGAAGGAACAGCTTCTGAGAGATGAGGGGTCTAATAGGTTTCTAACTCCTAAGGACCTCCTTGGGAGGAAAAGGAAATAGGAAAAGAAGAAGAGGAGGAGATGGCGCACCTTCCTCTCTGTACTCCACGGTGTAACCAGAGATGGTGCAGTTCCCCGTGCTGGATGGGGGCAGCCAGCGGAGAATCACAGAGGTGCAGCTTCTCTCCTGGGCAATGGGGCGGTTAGGTGCTGCTGGTACACCTACGGAGACAGAGATTAGGATCAAGGGTGGTTTCTGCAGCACTCGGCATTTTATACCAAGCTAGACTGTCATCTAGGAAACATTACATACCCCGTGTCTCAAATTCTTCCTATGAGCTTCTCCACCAAGTGGCATGCCTTTCTCTGGGCCTAAAAGCGACCTGGGAGACGTACCTGGATCTCTGAAGTTCTTTCCCAGGCTAAATATTCCACAGGGAAGAGAGAGCTTGGTTGAGGAGCTATGCAGGTTTGTAGCAGGCAATAGATAGGTCTTAGCAAAGATTTGTTCTCCCATTTGTTAGAACTTTATTTTGGAATTTTCATAATGGACCTTTTCTTCCCCACATCCTAGGGAGGTTTTGTAATGTTCACTTGAAATATTTGACTAACCCAAATTCATAGAGCCAGAAAGTAGAGCAATGGTGGCCAGGGGCTGTGGGGAGCGTGGGACAGGGGGCTATTGCTTAATGGCTATGGAGGGAGCGTGGGAAGATGAAGAGAGTTCTGGGGATGGGTGGTGGTGACCATAGCACAGACGTGTGAAATAGGTATTTAATACCACTGAGATAAACACTCGAAATGATTAAGGTAGTACAATTTAAAAAGCAAATGAAGAGAAGTGTTAAAGTTTGACTAACACAGAGACGGTACCTTGCACTTTAACCGTGGCAGATGTTGATGTTGTCCCGTGGTCATTTGTCGCTATGCAGGTATAAATCCCGCTGTCCTGGGGCATCAGATTGCAGATCTTCAGGGTGATTTCCCCAGAATCACTAGGGATAGCAAAAGGAAGCCCTCAGACCCCAGTATTGAACCACTGACTGACAGGTAGAAATCCCCCTTAGACCCGGGTATTGAACCGCTGACTGACAGGTAGTATCCCACAGCATTGGCACATGTGTGCTGAGAAGATTCTCAGTCCCCATTCTGTCACCCACCTGCACACCTTAGGAACCACGTTGTCTTTCTATCCCCACACCCTTAAAGGGGAGAAGTCCCTGGCCATGCCCATCGCCCAGGCTTGTTGTAAATGAGGGGCAGAATAAGGGATGAAATGGGGTAAGAATTAGAATAGGGGTTGAAGGATATGGAAACCCTACACAAGTACTGGCCCACAATATTATCAGTATTATCAGCAGTAGCAGCTTTGTTCTAAAGTAGTTTGTCTCACAGATCAATAAATGGTAGGAGAAAATGGAAAGCCTGAAGAATAAAAACATTCGAGTACTTAACATTCTTTATGTAGGACTTTCAAAATAAAGTGAATTAAGAAAGGATCAGTTCCTCCACATAAATAGCTGCCCCCCTTGGGCCAGCAGGTGGCGAGGTGGTTAAGGTGCTGGATACTCCCACATGGCCGACCATGGTTCGAGTCCCAGACCTAGTGGCTTGCTTTCTCACTTTCCTTCTCTCTGTGTTTTGGTCTTTCTTTGGTTAAATGAAAAAAAAAAAAAGAATGAATAAGTAAAATTAAATAAATAATTATTAAAAAAATAATAACTACCCCCCCTCATGGCAGTATGGGTCCTGAGGTATCTTAAGGGAAGAAGAACTCGGGAAGGGTTAAATACGAAAGCTGTGAGCTCTACCCCCTCCTCATGTATTATGATATATCCTAGTGCTCTTTGTGGGCCCCTCCAACCTCCTTGGGCCCTTTTTTGGGGGAAAGTATTATTTTATTTAACTTTATTTATTTGTTTACTTATTTATTTAAATCTGACCAAAGAGGGACAGAGCAAGAGCACGAGAGAGAGAGAGGGAAAGTGAAAAAGCTGCCAGGTCTAGGACTCAAACTGTGGTCAGCCATGTGAGTACAGTGCCCTTAACCACAATGCCACCTCCCGGCCCCCCATGGTAATTTATTATTATTGTTATTTTTAGAGACGGTCTCCCCATGTTGCTCATGCTAGCCTCAAACTCATGACCTTCATGCCTCAGTCTCCTGAGTAGCTGGGATTATAGGTGCATGCCACTGTGCCCATTTTCCATTGGTATTTTGTGGTCCCTCCTGGCCAGGCAAACTCTGACTGGAATACTGAGGAATAATGGTCTTTTTCTATTTCACACACACACAAATTAGGTCAATGGATAAAAGTTTTGCGATTCTAGGTGTTAGGTGTTTCTTCCATAAATATTTCTTACATATTTAGGGCTTGCTACTGCTTGTCCACTGTAAGCAGGGCTACATGATAAAGTAGCAATAACTGTTAATATCAGTAGCAGGGTTGGGATGCAGTCAGTCAAGTTCCAGAAAACAGTCTTTTTATATGGAAGCAAGCTTATGGCTTGATTTTCTGCAGCTCACTCTGGAGTGAGTCATTCTTTTTTTTTCTTTCTAATAAAATAGCTCTAAGTATGGGATTAAATCTCTCTCTGTTTCACAGGATCCTGAAGGGCATAAAAGACACCAGAAAGTCCAGGTTTGAGGACACGTTCTAACAACAAGTCTGGGGCCTTCATCCCCTGCGACTCAGAGATAGGTGTACTTGGCGATCCCTGGAGAAAAGTCATCTAATGGAGTGACTGTACGGCTGTTTGCTGAAAGCTCTTCAAAAGTGCGGTCTGTGCTTGACCTGAGATAGAAGGGTTTCCTTTCTTGGTTTGTTTAATGTGGGTCCAGAATGCAGCTTTCCCATGCATTAGTTTTGGCCCCAGGTATATTTACGAGGCACTGGTGATATGTGACAAGTGTGCTGGTGCCGACCCAGGCGTGCCTTAGGCTGAGTGGCAGACAAAGGCGAGCTGCAGATGGGGAATCAGCCCACAGGCCCGGGTACACTGCCGTGTGGGGCTGAACCACTCACAGATTGTGGCTCCATCTCGCTCCTGATCGAGGTCAGGTATTTGATCTAGAGTAAGCTCTTCGGCAGCTCTCCTCTGGGAGGGACTGGGAACCATATCAGCAGCTGCACCCAGGCTCAGCCTCGCGGGTGCTGGTGCCGATGCAAGTGGTTGGCTTACCAGGAGGAGACGGTGTATGTGGATGAGCTGTTGTCGGCGTCCAGGATGTTCTGGTCTGGGCCCTTCCAAGTGATGGTGGGCTTCGGCCGCCCACAGACTTTGCACTGCAGTATCACAGTGTCCCCAAGCAAGCAGGTCACGTCCACTAGGGGCACGAGGAATTCTGGAGCCACTGTGATCAAATCAACGTACATCATTCAGAACACACTTAGAACAAAGCAGCCTTTACTTATTTATTTTTAAAATACTGTTGGCCACTTGTACATCTTTTGAGAAAGTTTTTATTCAGGTTCTTTGCCCATTTTTCTTTCTTTCTTTCTTTTTTTTTTTTTAAAGAGAGCTATAGGGCACGTGCACTGGCTGGAAAGACAGAGACAGACAGAAAGCAAGAAGTCACCCTCCAGCAGGGATGGTCACGCCACAATCCCTTCTCCTCTTGGGATCTTGGGCATGCACACACGTGTGCCTGGCGTGAGTTTAAGCCACTGGGTCTGGGACTTGAACAACAGTCATTTACATGGGAGTTCAGTGATATAACCATTACCCCATCTGCTGGTCCCCCAAAACAGCCTTTTTTGGGAGAGGTTTTTGCTATAGGGTGCATGCGCTCACCAGAAAGACAGAGAGGGACAAAGAGATAGAAAGGGAAAAATCACCCCCCCAGGGGGGATGGCCACACCGCAGTCCCTTCTCCTCCATTCTCTTCTTGGGATCTTGGGCACAAACGCACATGCACCTAGTGCGAGTTTAAGCCACCAGGTCTGGGACTCGAACCACAATTGACTACATGGGAATCCAGTGACATGTCATTATGCCAACAGCTGGTCCCCCAAACAGCCATTTTATTTTTTTTTAACAATTTTATTCCTCACCCATTTTGTATAATGACTCAAATAACCCTCGGCATAATACTTTCAAGTCATCTGTGCCCCTTTAAAAAGTAGTATGTGTTTATTGTAGGAAAATTAGGAAATGCAGATAAGAAAAAATAAGAAAAAGCTCCATATGTTATATTCTAGAAATAACTAGAGTGAATGTTCTGGTATGTATTCTCATAGGTTTTATATGAACACACCTCTTAACAAAATTGTATCCCATTTTATATATATATACATATATATATATATATATAGAGAGAGAGAGAGAGAGAGAGAGAGAGAAAGAGAGAAAGTTATTGTCTTTTTCACCTAATACTTTGTCAGAAACATCCATTTTTGTGCACAAATATGAAACTATGTCACCATTGTTGGGACCAGCAGGTGGCATGGTGGTTAAGGCGCTGGACACTCCCACATGGCCAACCAGGGTTCGAGTCCCCTGACCTGGTGGCTTGCTTTCTCACTTTCTCTTTCTCTCTCTATCTCTGCCTCTCTCTGGTCAAATTAAAAATAAATGAATAAATAAATAAAATTAACTAATTATTTAAAAAGCTATAATTGTATTAAAAAATAAAAAGAAAGAAACTATGTCACCATTGTTTAAAGGCTCTACTTCAATGCTGAATATACCATAATTTATTTAACAAATACCCCCATTTTCAATTCTACTGCTTTTTAACTCACCTTCTTGGATGAAATTTGGATTTAAGATCTGAAAAACAAAGAAACAGAAAATTGCTTGAATCCTAAACTATTCCAAGAAAGTGAGAGAATTTTACCCTATTGAGTACAATTTAGGAAAATGAAGCTCTGATATCCGAACTCTCACTCGCTGTGACTGTATTACAAATACAGAGAAGAGCCCCTCTTTAAGAATAAGCGGCACTGGGGGCCGGCAGGTGGCGTGGTGGTTGAGGGCACTGCACTCCCACATGGCTGACTGTGGTTTCAGTCCTGGACCTGGCAGCTTGCTTTCTACTCTCCCTCTCCCTCTCTTACTTGTTATCTCTCTCTCACTCTCCCCCTCTCTCTCACTCTGTCCCTCTCTGTCAAATTAAAAAATAATTAAGTAAATAAATCAAAGCTAAACAAATGTTCTTTTTTTTTTTTTTTTTTTTTTTAGGAAAAAAGAATAAATGGCACTGGGTTTGCTTTCCTAGCTGTTCTGGTTGTTCACATCCCGGCTGGTGGCTGGGGCTGGCAGGGTTATTGGGAATCTGCTAGATGGCTGACCTTTCAGTCCTTCTCTCTTCCACTCGTAAAACCTACTCTCTCTTCACAGACATAAAGCCCCTCTCTCCTCCCATTCAACCTACACTCAAGGGATGGGATGGTTCAATTCTTCCTGGCGTCATGAATGTTCAAAAACAGAGGATCTGAGACCTAAGCGGGAAAGGCCATTGAAATGAACTAACCCAGTTTCCTTCCAAATGTTCTACTCGCAACCCCCAGAAGTGGAAACTTCCCTTCCAGCAGCCAGATGTAGAGTTTCTCGGGTTGAAGAGGACAAGAGAAGTCCTGTCTTCCCACTCCATCCCAGCTCAGGCTCCTGTAGCCCAGGCCTCCACCAGGTACCTTGACGACCTTGACTGACATCCCTGCTCTAATCCTTTTGCTTCATAGGTGAGAAAATAGAGACTCAGGCCAATTAAGTGACTTGTCCCAGCCACACGTGGGGTTTGAGAAGCTGCTGGAGCTCTTTGTATGAGTTTTGCTGGCTGGTGCCAGGTCACCCTGAATTTTTTAAAAATTATTTTATTTATTTATTTTATGAGAGTTTTGCCAGAGAAAGAGAGGGAGAGTTAGAAAGCAAACCGCTAGGTCCAGGACTCGAACCACAGTAGCCCATGTGGGAATTCCAGTGCCTTAACCACCACACCACCTGCTGGCTCCCACCCTGGATTTTTCATAGAAGGGAAAACATTTAGCTGACCAGCTATTCTGGAAAGTTACTCCTTCTTGAGAGAATGGTCACTTTGATTCCTCCCACCCCCATCTTTTGTAGTACCTCTAATCACACAGGTCATAACGCCTGACGTGATTTTAAAAAAAAAAGCAGGTGATTTGGGATCAGAGTTTGGGGCCACCTGTTTTGTTAAACGTGATTCCATACTAATTGCCGAAAGCTGATTAGCATCATTGTTCGTCACTATAAAAGAGACTCGGTACGTAGTACCGAGTGCCAAGTGTTATCACAAAGATGAATTGAAATCCTGCGTATCAAGAGATTAGCACAGAGCTCAACAAATAAATACTCGGTACCTATCTATATAGAGACAATCTAATTCTAATAATCTCCCTTCTGCTAAGCAGCCTGTTGCTAAAGTGATTTATCACTCATTGTTTTGCTCAATTGTTTCCTTTACAAAGAGGCCACATGACTCCTGTGGGTTACAAGGAAGCCCAGTGAGGGCCTTCATACTCATCTCCCTGCATTCCCCCATGTCTTACATGAGCACACGTATGGCTACTGCGTGTTCTTCCCTCAGAAGGACGCGCTAGAGTCCCTTGGAACAAAGATACTATTTCCTCTTTGGGTCCTTGCAAGCTGATGGTTCACTTGCATCACTTAGATTTTTCACAATTAGTGGCTGCACAAAGCCTTGTGCTGGCAGGTTCTGAGGCTGTGTCTCAGCCCTGGCCACCACAGCGTTTGTTAGCCTCAAAACGCCACTCACCACTGTCTGGGCTTCCTTTAAATCAGTGGTTCTCAATCCAAGTCAGTCATTTGACAAAGGAAAGGGAGCTGAGAATATTTTCTGTGTTTACAGTGGTTATCTCAGGTGGGATTAAGGGTGCTTTTGGCCCATTCAAAAAGATTGATCGAGTTCATCTTTTTTTTTTGGATCGATTTTCACTGTAGGGCGCGTGCGCTTGCCAGACAGACAGAGAGAGACACAGAGACAGAAAGCGAGAAATCACCCCCCAGGGGGGATGGTCACGCCGCAATCCCTTCTCCTCCATTCTCCTCTTGGGATCTTGGGCATGCACGCACACGCGCCCGGCATGAGTTTTAAGCCACCGGGTCCGGGACACGAACCGCGGTCGACTACGTGGGAGTCCAGCGACATAGCCATTACGCTAACTGCTGGTTCCCGATCGAGTTCATCTTAAGACAAGCATATGGGTTTGTGGATACAAAAATACTAAGACGTAGGCCCTACCCTCAGAATTTCTAAAACATCTGAATTTTAGGTGTTCATTTTTTTTTCCTTTCTTTTCTTACCTGGGCTTTCCAGATATTTTTCAAACAGCAGCCTATTACTAAACCGACTTATCTTTAATAGTTTTATCTTTAATAGTTTATTTTGAAAAATTGTTCTTTCCTTCCTAATGAAGACATACAACTCATGTGCCTTACAAAATGTCCCAGTTGGGGCCTTCACACTTATCTTTCTGTATTTATTTTGTAATAATTTTTAAAGGAAAGGAAGGTGCAGTTAGACTTACTAGACAGTAAGCTCTTTAAGGATAGAAGCCACTCCTTATCTCCCTGGTACCACTGGGCCTGCTACATAATGGGATTTAATATGTTGTCAGTGAAGGCACATTTGACCTTTGACCCCATTTAGGCGCTCCCAAGTATTTAGGATTGGTGCATAAATAGAATCTCAAAACAGGATCAAAAGGTCTATAAAGTAATTAGATTTGAGCATGTGACTAATGACATTGGACTAGAGGTTGTTTGCAAACACAGATGGAATGCAAACTTTTCGGAAAATGATAAAAAGAATAGAATGGATAGCCTCAAGGGAGGAGGTTCTGTGTGCTGTGCAGAGGAGGAGGGAAACCCTGAGCAGACAGAGTGCACAGTGTCCAGACCCTAGGCCAGACACACCGTCCTGCCTTGGACATCGTGAAGCGGCTCAGGCCCCAGTTTTAATTGTGACTTGGGGATAATAATGCCTACCAGGAAGGGCTGTTTGATGTAAGGATTTAAACTTTTTTTTTTCTTTTGAGAGGTGTTTGCTATAGGGCATGTGCGCTTGCCAGAGAGATAGAGAGAGACAAAGAGACAGAAAGTGAGAAATCACCCCCCAGGGGGGATGGCCACACGGCAATCCCTTCTCCTCTATTCTTCTCTAGGGATCTCGGGCACACACGCACATGTACCCGGTGTGAGTTTAAGCCACCGGGTCCAGGACTTGAACCACGGTTAATTACATGGGAGTCCAATGACATAGTCATTACGCCAACTGCTGGTTCCAATGTAAGGATTCAATTTATTTGATGAAGATTTACCAAGCTGACCCATGGTTAGGTGGTAGAGACCAGGCAGGAAGCAGGGTGGACGTGCTTGGGCCGACAGTTTGGCAGGAAAAATGGAGTTAAATTCTGTTTGTATTTGATGAAGTGCCTGATCAGCCTTCAGCATACACAGAATACGCACTCTCCCCCATCCCACCCCACCCCACCCCATCAGGACTCTATTGTAGAAACAAGTTGAGGGGCCAGCGGGTGGCATGGAGGTTAAGGTAGCTGGATCTCATGTCGCCAACTGCGCTGTTCAAGTCCCAGGCCTGGCAGCTTGAAAAATGATGCCAGGAGACCAGCAGTTAGCGTAATGGCTATGTTGCTGGACTCCCACGTAGTCGACTGCAGTTCGATTCCTGGACCTGGTGGTTTAAACTCATGCCGGGCGCGTGTGTGTGTGCATGCCCAAGATCCCGAGAGGAGAATGGAGGAGAAGGGATTGCGGCGTGGGCATTTTCCCTGGGGGTGATTTCTCCCTTTCTGTCTCTCTGTTTCTGTCTGTCTGGCAAGCGCACATGTCCTATAGCAAAAACCTCGCCAATAAATAAATAAATAAATGAACAAAAAAAAAAAAAAAAAAGAAAAATTATGCCAGGAGCATGTGCATTCATGTTCAAAACCCCGAGAGGAAAATGGAGGCGAAAGGATTGCAGAGTGGCCAGGCCCCCTTACCCCAAGGGTGTTTTCTCACTTTCTCTCTCTCTTCCCACAGTGAACACACATACTCTACAGCAAAAAAACTGAAAAAAGAGTGAGAATGTTGCCAACTCTGTAATGGCCTGGATTTCCTATTATGATGGGAACCCACAAGGGAGCAAGACACTGAGTCCACGTCAAGGTCTCACAGACGTGACAGACGACAAGTGGGAGAAGCAAGGAGCAGGTCCATGCTATGGAGAAGGGCTTCATAAAGCAGCCCTGTGGCCGTGCTTCCACACGACAGCACCCCAAACTGCTGCCAGAAGTCCGTCTTATTCCTCTTTTTCATTACTTAACTTCAACAGTGTCAAGTATATTATTGAATATATGTGTCATTTAAAAAAACAAATATTCCTGGGCCGGCAGTTGGCGTGGTGGTTAGGGGCTCTGAGTTCCCACATGGCTGACTGGGTTTTGAGTCCTGGACCTGGCGATGGTTTGCTTTCTTGCTTTCCCTTTCTCTCTATCTTTCTGTCCTTCTCTGGTCAAATTAAAATAAAATAAATAAAGTTAAATAAATATAATTTACAAGAAGAAAATGTCATCGTTCAGTGTAGACGTTAGCAGAGTCTGCCAGTGAGGCTTCTGCAGGCTCTCCACCTGGAAGGGACGTGTGGAGGTCCTCAGTCTTCGTTTCTCTGGCCTGGGCTGGCCCAGTGGAGGCGAGCCCAGCGTGGCACACCACAACACGTTTCTAATGGTGGTGACGTTGCTGATGTGTGCAGTGTTATACAAGAGGACTTCAGATGGCTCATGGAAAAGTAGATTTAAAATATGAGATTATTTGGGTGAGAAAAAAAATGAAATCCCTTTAAATCTTCTTAGAGGGGTCTTTCTGGTGTGGGAAGGCAGTAGCTTTCACATTTCCAGAATGTCCATTTCCTGTGAATTTTCTGAAGACTCCTCGTAGAGTTGGCATAAACCACTCCCAAACTCCTTCTCAACTCCTACTCAAAACCCTGGAGGATGTGCAGACCCGAGTGTTATTCATTCTCATTTCCTAGGTGAGATGGGGGAGTGAAAAATCAAAGAGACCCACAGAGATCTTGGGTTTTAGCCCAGTGCTCGTCCCATCAGAGCATTCGGGGCAGTGGGAGGGTGTTGGGAGAACCATCTGAGACCTCATCGCTGGCGTCAATGGCCTATCTGCTTAGCTTTGAGTCCACCTTTCTCCCTACCTCACCTCTGCCCATCCCTGCTCTTTAAACTCCTCTAGTGAGACCAAGAGCCTGGGCAACATCCATGCTAATCCCCCCAGCTTTGATGCTGGATTATGTCCATTGAAAATTCCTCTCTCATTTTTCCAGTTTCTTCTTTGAAGCAAATCAGAATATGGACTGGAGGGTCATGCCACACCCTCACATGGTGGTCTAATTACCTGTATGTTTGTCTACGGCTCTCTGTGCACTACAAGGCCATGTTGGTTTGTTCAGTGTTACTGCCACCAAGCCTATCTGACACTTGACATGCAAGTGCTCCACTATTTATCAATTCTGTGAAAACTTAAAGTGGTGGGATCCTAACCTGGGGGAGGAGAGCTGACAGAACGTCTTGTTGGGAACTCCGACTGTTGTTCCATTTGCATTAGGGGAATGCGACTTGATTGGGAAGTTCACTAATTAGTCATTAATTAGTCAACATTTGAGATTTAGCCAATGGTGATCTTCTTCCTTTGCACTCTTATTTGAGGGGACCTCAAAGAATTTGTGAAAAAATGGAATTAAAGTATGAACTTACTTTGGTCCGAAGAAATTTTAGAATTCACACATAGATTCTTTTTATAACATGCATTTTCCACGAACTTTTTGAAGACCACCCCCCCTACCGTCCCACCTTAGAGATGTGATCGTGAACTGCCATGTATCATCTCTTTCTTGCATTGTATTTGTTCTGGGAACTTGAGAACCCTTTGAAAATAGCAATCCTTCCCCACATTTTACATGCCGTCAGTCGTGTTTCTTCGCATCTTGCACATAGCAGATCAAATATTTGGTAACTCAAATTAATTGAGGTCACTCAATTAGACTAGAACTTAGGTCTCCTAACCACTTTAAGGGATCAGCGTTGTTGTGTGCAGGGATCTAACGTGTCAGCCTGGCACTTGAGGGGTTAATCATAGCCTCACATGTTTCTTGAAACCTAATGTTTTCCTTTCTTAGAAACAGGTTGGAAGTTCACATAAAGTGATAAATGGGAAGAAGGAAAGAACTGAAATCCGAAATAGAAGTGTTAGTGGATGAAAGACCACGCCGTTCATATAAAATGCACATGTGCCCTCTCTGGGAGAGGCACGAGAATGCTGGCCAGAGTCCGAGAGGACCAGGCCGGCATGGGCATGTAGGAGACCGAGGGGTCTGGTTTTATTTGAACAGCAGAGGGCGCAGGTAGTAGTGCTTCCTCCCAGGCGAACCAAGCACCCCACAATGTGGTCCATCAGCAACTCAGTTTCTTTCTTCTGGAGAGAATTCCAATCAATGTCTTGATTTTTCTTCCAAAGGGATGAGCACGAGGTAAGAGGAGAGAGTTACAGGCACAATCAACCAGCACTGAATAACATAATTGGAGCTTCAAGGGAATCTTGGCTCTATTTTTCTTGCTGTGAAGCTCTAAGACTCTAAGACTTAAGACCAAGGGTGAAATTCTGTCTAGAAAACCAGCCATCAACTGACTCCAGATGAAAAATATACCCCTCCATCTTTTCCAAGTCCCTCATCACCAGTCACAAAACACAGGTCACAGCTACGTATTGAGAATACTGAAGGAATAAAAAAGAGCCAAAGAAGCCAAATGGCCTACACCCAACTGAGAGCTGTGCGGGGTCCGTTTTTGTAAAAAAGTTCCAAGTGTTCTTGAGAAAAAAAAAACCATCGCTGATTGTTGGGTATAGGTCTTCAAAAAATTTATGGAAAATGGAATTAAAGTACAGGTCTACTTTGGTGCCGCCCCCTCCCGTGAAGTTCATGCATCAGTTTTTGAACTATTTGAAGACCCCTTCACATATGTCTAGGTGTCAAGCACATTTATGGTTTTATGTGTGTTTCTAGTTCAAACCCCTGTTTGCCACCCCTCGGTATTTTGGTGAGGGAAACTTTAGTGTGCACTCAAAAACAAAAATACTAAAAATACAACTTTAAAGATAATAATCAACATATCTCTCCTCTGTCTCATGAGATAGTGATGAAGGACCCCCTTTTGGGTTCATCACTGTGCACACGTCGGTCTGCAGGTGCTCCTGACAGCCTGGAAGTCAGTTAGGAAGGGACTGGGGCGGGGGTGGAAGATGGTGCGGTGGGTGGTGGTACAGCTTCTTCTTTATATAAAACCATAACTAATCTAACAGCCAAAATCTTGACTTTGGATAAAGTCTTTATAGGTGAGTGTTTTGGAATCTCCTTTAATAATTAACCCTGATTATACCCCAACCCCCAAACTTTGTTGGGTGAAACTAACTCCCAGAGTCTTTGGAGTCACAAGAGGTTAACATTTACTCTGAAAATATGGGGGAGTGGTTTTGGGCTCGCTAGACTGCCCATATAAATGCCTGCAGCCTGGCACTTCTTCCTGGGCCTTCTGTTTTGTACTCAGCTGCTTGCTTTCTCTCTCTCTTTCTCTTTCTTTCATGAGAGAGACTTTTACTATAGGGCACATGCACTCGCCAGAAAGACAGAGAGACAGAAAGCGAGAAATCACCCCCTAAGGGAGGATGGCCAAGCCGCAATCCCTTCTCTTCCATTCTCCTCTTAGGATATTGGGCACATGCATGCGTGCGCACGTGCACACACACGCACACACACACCCTGCGTGAATCTGAAGCCACCGAGTCTAGGACTTGAACTGTGGTACACTACTTGGGAGTCCAGTGATGTAACCACTATGCCATCTGCTGGTCCCGTACTCAGTGTTTTCATTCCTGCCTTTTCCTTGCTTCTGCTCAGCTTATCACTATCAAATCTCTCCCTGTCTGCCCTTCTGGTATTTTTCAACTTTTTTTTTTTTTTAACTTCTAAATGCCTTCCTGAAACACAGAACAAATCATCTTTACTCTTCTAAAAAACCTTCAATTGCTTCTTGATGTCCGTGGATCATGTCATGGCTTCCTAGCAAGTCCCTCCAGGCCTCTGCAGTCTGTTCTCAATCCATCTGCCAGGCTTTCTCGCCTACAATTCCTCCTTCATACCCAAGCCCAAGGTACCCAGACCATACACCTTCTCAAAATATGTTTGGACCTTCATGCCTCAGGGCCTTTGTTCATACTCTTCCTTATCCTCTGCCCTTCTAGAAGACCATTTATTCCTGTTAGTCCATCCAACCCACACACTGCCATGGAGTGAGGTCAATGACCACACTCAGGAGCTTCCGGGAAGACAGGCTGCCTAGAAACATCCAACCTTAGGAAAATTCTTAACTTTAATGTGCTCCTGTTTTCTTATCTGTAAAGTGGGGATAATGATAGTAGTACCTATATGATCATGCTGCTAGGAAGAAAGGACTCACACAGAGTCAGTTATACAGGAGACTGCTAAGTAGTAGCTATTGTTATGAGTCTAATGCCTGAGTGGGTGTATAAATATCTATTGAATGAATGAATGAATGAATGAATGGCTTAAGGGAGAAAATCAGTCCCTCTCTGTGACACTAGAAGAGCACATTAAAAATTATTTTGTTATTATTATCTAATTTTGACCAAAGAGACAGAGAAAGAAAGTGAGAGAAGGGGAAAGTGAGAAAGTAAGCCACCAGGTCTGGGACTTGAACCGTGGCCAGCCATGTAGGAGTCCAGCACCTCAACCACCACGCCACCTGCTGGCCCCCTGGTGCCAGGCTTTCTCGCCTACAATTCCTCCTTCATACCCAAGCCCAAGGTACCCAGACCATACACCTTCTCAAAATATGTTTGGACCTTCATGCCTCAGGGCCTTTGTTCATACTCTTCCTTATCCTCTGCCCTTCTAGAAGACCATTTATTCCTGTTAGTCCATCCAACCCACACACTGCCATGGAGTGAGGTCAATGACCACACTCAGGAGCTTCCGGGAAGACAGGCTGCCTAGAAACATCCAACCTTAGGAAAATTCTTAACTTTAATGTGCTCCTGTTTTCTTATCTGTAAAGTGGGGATAATGATAGTAGTACCTATATGATCATGCTGCTAGGAAGAAAGGACTCACACAGAGTCAGTTATACAGGAGACTGCTAAGTAGTAGCTATTGTTATGAGTCTAATGCCTGAGTGGGTGTATAAATATCTATTGAATGAATGAATGAATGAATGAATGGCTTAAGGGAGAAAATCAGTCCCTCTCTGTGACACTAGAAGAGCACATTAAAAATTATTTTGTTATTATTATCTAATTTTGACCAAAGAGA